CTATAATAAGTGGGAAATACACTGAAGGAGACATGACTGACCCTCCAAAATGGAAGACCAATTTCCGTTGCGCCTTGAACAGCATCAGTTCGTTTCAGTTGCTGGACGACAAGTCAAAGGAGTCCTCAGACCCCCACAAAGTCTTTCTCATCAAAGACCATAATCCCAATCTGTCGAAAAGTGAGTGCAAGACGTCTCTATAAAATTTTTGAGTTTGCAAATTTTTGCCGTGAAGTGCAGTGATCTTGTATTTGTAAGCTAAAGTTATCTTGTCAGTAAAGCTTGTTACTCCCGAGATCCAATCTCACATGAAGGGTGCTGTATAAATGTAAGCTGTTTGTTGTTGTAAAGCTCAACGAATAAGGGCATTTCCTGTCAGATGGGGAACGCTCTCACTGAGACACAACCACAAATTACATTAGTATAGTGCCTTTCATGTCAGGAGGATGGATGTGGCTAAGCAAAGCTCTCATTTGCAAGTCATGCTGTCAAGATTAAAATGTTGTGGTTACTGAAAGTATTTTTAATGATCCATCTTCCTCTTGAGAGTTTCACACAATGGGATAGAGTTGTTGGCATGGGGGGGGGGGGGGGGCGGAGCGATGGGGGTGCGGGGGTGGAGATGGTGGCTAGCTAGCAAATACAATAAACTCTGCCCCTGGGAGCCTGAGCACTATTAGCCATGCTTATTGATAGTAGAGAAGGAAAGGCCCACATGTAACACTCTTGGCATAATAATATATAATAATAATAATCCTTGCATTTGATATAGTGCTTTTCACGTCTTTTCGACGTCTCAAAGCACTTCACAGAGTATGCTGCAGAGCGAATTGACTGTATGTATATTTGTGGGCGAAAACGTGGCAGCCAATTGCGCACAGCAGCTTCCCACAAACAGTCATGGACTGAAGATGACCATTTTATTATTGTTTTGGAGAGATTCTTATTAGGCGTGTGGAGTAAGGAAACTTGCCCAAGGTTTCGCCCTGACCTGCCTGGAATTGAACCCAGGTCTTTCGCTTGCAAGGCGAGTGCTCTAACCACTGAGCTACAGGACTCCTGTAATGCAACTTGTGTGTGAGTCCTCTGAGCCATGCAGTTTTTGCACAAGCAAGAGTTTGCTTTGTTCTGTCATAGTTTTTGTTTGAATATACTTTTCTGATTTCAGAACCTCAACTGAATGAAAGCGTGGAGGAAGAGGATGATCTTGAGCTGCGCATGAGCCCAGAAACTGATTTCTCTTACTTTACCCAGCTAGCCTTCCCACATCCACAGGTACCCATGGGGAGCTTTAACCTCGCCTTTATCCATCGTTCATTTTACTGATTCTCAAACTGTGCCTGGGCCTGTAATAATCATCTTTGCGTTTGATTCAGTGCCTTTCATGCCAGCGGGCGTCTCGAAAAAAATGCCTCACAGGATTCACATAGGAACAGGAGTAGGCCATTCAGCCCCTCGAGCCTGTTCCGCCATTCTTCAAGATCATGGCAGATCCGTACCTGCATTACCTACACTTGCCCCATATTCCTTGATGCCCTTGCAGTGTAGTGACTCCAAATTTGTGGGCGAGTGAGGCAGCCAGTTGGCGCACAGCAATACCCCACCAGCAGCAGTAAAGTGCGTGACCAGTTTTTATCGGGATTGTCAGCGAGAACACTGGGAAAGAGAAACTCCTCTTTTTGAATAGCGCGATGGGATCTTTAAGGTCCACCAGAGCAGACAGACGGGACCTCAGCTTTGGCCGCTTTCGCCAGGAAAACGAGCCTTCCCTGCATTCCAAATGATATTTGAATCAGTTTTGCTAAACCGCTCACAAACATTGTTTTTTAACGTGTGAACGTACGTGGTGTGATCTTTTGAAAGTAAGGGGGGTGGGCGTTGAAGAAGAAGGAGTGACATAATATATTTTAAATGCATTTCCTTAGGAACATCTGGACGAAATGTTGACTACAATGACTCTGTCAGACAATCCAGGAGGTCAGTTTCTTATCCAGTGTGTTGGGTCACTTGAAATATAGCTTTAATTTGCACATTTAATCATGTACAGGGGAAACCTCGTTATAAAGCAGTTGGCAGAGTCTGACACCTCGCCAATAACCAAGGCATGAAAAATGATCAATTTCCAGATCATCAGGTCACCACTGATTATAATATTATAATAATAATCCTTGCACTTGATATAGCGCCTTATCACCTGATTGAGACGTCTCAAACCGCTTCACGGAATATACTGTAAAGTGCACTTTGTGGGCGAAGCACGGCAGCCAGTTGCGCACAGCAGTGTCCCACAAGCAGTCGTGGATTGAGTGATCAATTATTTATTTTTTGGGGGAGGGATTATTACTCTGGAAAGCAATCTGCCAATCAACTAACCACCAGGTCCCTATTTACTGCTAGGTAAACAGAGGCATGTGGAGTAAGGAAACTTGCCTAAGGTTTCACCCTGCCCTGAAATCGAACCCGGGTCCCCTTTTTTTGCGAGGCGAGGGCTAGGGAGGAGGCTAGTAAAACCACGATGCTTTATATGGTTAAAGCAACTCAAGCTGTTATTCTGTTTCTGTGTGTTGCAAATGAAGAGAATCAGTGGGAGGCGTCACATCCAGTATATCTTCCAAATCTGTGTCCTTACAAGCCTCTGATGATGGAACAATTCAACAATTCACTCAATATTCCTTACCATGAAGAACTCCGCATTTCCCCAGCCCAGGTCGTCCCAAACGGTAGGTAACAGTAAAAAAAAACACAATGTTATTTATTCCAAGGGAACTTTGTGTAATACTTAATCATTTTATTTAGGATAAGGCCATATACCCCTGTTCTCCACCACCAACCGGCTCCTCCGCCCTCCCCGCCACACCTCGCAGATTCTTTCCTCCGACTCTCACTGTGAGGAAATGCTGGACTTCCTCGGGTCCAAAATCACGGGAATTCGCTCAGCTGCCACTGCCATCCCAACTTCCTGCCCCTCCCTAATCCCCCACACTCCAACCACTACCCATCCTTTCTTCCACACCTTTGAACCTGTCACCCCCTCCTCCATGAAGCCCACCACCTGCTCCTTGGACCCCATCCCTGCCTTTCTCCTTAAATCCCAGCTCCACCTCCTTGCCCCACTACTCGCAAACATCATTAACCTCTCCCTGTCATCTGGCACTGTTCCTACCCTCCTCAAAACAGCCACCATCACCCTCACCTTGAAGAAATCTTCCCTTGACTCAACACAGCTATCCAGCTACCGGCCCATCTCCAACCTCCCTTTTCTGTCGAAGGTCCTTGAGAGAGAGGTCCTAAACCCCAAGGTTCTGTTCTTGACTGGTTCAGGTCTTACCTTTCACACCACCTCCACTTGGTTTCAGCTAATGGCTTCTCCTCCAGCCCTCGCACCGTCTCGTGCAGCGTTCTTCAGGGCTCTGTCCTCGGTCCCCTCCTCTTCACCCTCTCCATGCTCCCCCTTGGTGACATCATCTGCAGACATGGGGTAAATTTCCACATGTATGAGGATGGCACCCAACTCTATCTCTCTGCCTCCACCCTCAACTCCAGGACTGCTGGCGTCCTGATTGACTGCCTGTCCGATATCAAGTCCAGGACGAGGGATACCTTTCTCCAGCTGAACGTCAGCAAGACCGAGGTCCTCCTGATTGGCTCGCGACAGCGCCTCCGCACCTCGGGTGCTGGCAGCATCAGCATCCATGGCTGCACACTCAACCTCACTAAGCCAGTCAGGAACCTGGGTATCTTGTGTGACCCTGAACTGTCCTTTCTCCCCCACATCCGTGCCATGACTGGCACTGCCTACCACCATTTCCGCAACATTGCCGGACTCCACCACTGCCTCACCCCTCAGGATGCCCAAACCCTCACCCATGCATTTGTCGCATCAAGGCTCGATTATGGAAATTCCCTCCTCATTGGCCTTCCCAACTCTTCCCTTCACAAGCTGCAGATCATCCAAAACTCTGCAGCTCGTGTACTCTCGCGCACCAGGCTCCGTGACCCCAACACTCTCACCCTCACCCGACTCCATTGGCTCCCCATCCCCCAGAGGATCGAATTCGAGATCCTTGTCTCACTTTCAAGGCCGTCCATGCTCGCTGCCCGCTCCCTCCATTCAGCGGGCTCCGGCCTGCTCCATGTCTCCCGGCTGTCCTGCCTTAACATCGGTGGCCCAGCTTTCAGCCTCTCTGCCCCCACACTGCAGAACTCCATCCCACAGTCCCTTCGCCTCGCTTCCTCCCTTGCCTCCTTCAAGGCCGGTCTCAAGACCCTCCTCTTCGATCGTGCCTTTGGTCGCCTTCCCACCTCTCTGCCTGCCCTCACCCTTACCCCACCCTTCCCCAGCTCGGGTCCTGACCCCTGACTGCTCAGCGCCTTGAGACGTCCTCCCGACATGAAAGCCGCTCTATAAATGTAATTTTGTTGTTGTTGATTACTGTTACTCAGTAATAAGTCCTTGCATTTGATATAGCGCCTTATCACATCTTCGAGATGTCTTATAGCACTCCACTGTAAAGTGGAGTAACTGTATTTTGTGGGGTGGAACTTTGCAAGTGATTATTGCTGAAGTAGTGAATGACCCTATTTTGTTTGGTTGAAGGACTTCTGTGGGAATCCATGCAGCCATCAGTTCTCCCCGAGTTGGCCCACTATGCCCAAGAAGTTCCAGTTGCTTACGAGACACCACAGCTTCCTCTGAATGTGCCTCCCCTGGTGGCAGCTAACGGACCTGCGGCCGAACTTCAACACTGCCATTCCAGTACGTGAGAGCGAGCGCGAGTTTAGCTGTGCATGAGGTCACCCTAAAGGATGGCATTGCAAGTCACATTGTGCATTGAATGTGTTAACTTGTTGTAGTGCAGGAATTTGGGTCCCGAAACTCAAGATCTCGCGTTGGAAGGAGGCCTGCGAAGAAATGGCCGCCCTTCAGGTTAAGAACGTAAGAAATGCTAGACAAAAAAGGACCACGGTCCATCTAGTTCGGCTTCTACCTTCCCGGCGTTCGCATGCACATGTCCCGACTACGTATGGACTATATCGGTTGTCAAATCTGCTGATGTCACTTTCTTAGCGAAATGACATCAGCAACACTCCCTGTTCGTTTTCCAGCGAGCAGGAAGTTACAGCAATCTGATTACCAAGAAAGCAGCCATTTTCTGACCCAGCTGCTCAGTCTCAGATGCTTCCAGCGATGAGCAAAATCCGTGATCAAGCAAGGCTCCGTGCAACCAGGTTGCCCTGTATAAAGCAGGAGCGAGGGGAAATTAGACCAATTAGATTTTACTGCTCATTTCCTTCTGAATCAGAGTTTTGAACATGGATTCTTGACGGTACACACTCGCGAAGACTTTGCAAAATAAGTTTGATAGCAGATTGAAGCTCATTATCGTTGTCTTTCGTAATTGCTAAACTGAATTTTTTTTTCGGAACAGCATTCGATGAAACCATCAACAGGGAGATTAGGTGATTTTATATACATACACGGTCAAGTTTATTAGAATGGGGGAATAGCTCCTGAGATTCCGGTTCAAAATCGCATTTGGAATTCAATAAATACTTCTGTTAAAGGTTGCAGAGAAGGTAGGGGATTGAGATTTAGAAGATATAACTTGAGCACCAGCACAGATATGGTGAGCTTAATGGGCTTCTTTATGCACTGTAAACTCTCTTTGATTTTTAAAAAAATCTTTTTGAAACCAACCGCCGCTAATTTTTCGAAAATCTTCCTTTCTGTGCAGTTCGAAACAGTTTAGGGGTCACTGTATACTACAGAGGAAAAGCAGTGTTGCAGAGAACGGTCAAGACCGGATTCAGGTTACTCCAAAATGTCCAGGACACCACCTGTGGTCACCTCGAGCAGATCGCCTTTCCAAGCACCGAGTCCATATCCGATCAGAAGCAGAAAGAGTTCACCGATTGTCTCTTGTCGAACGTGGAAGGAGGGCTTACACTGGAGCTTCGAGGACAGCACATCTATGCTAAGAGAACGGGGAAGTGCCAGGTCTTCTGGTCTCTCACCGAAGTGAACGAGAGCCAGGAATCGCAAAAGCTTATGAGGGAAAAAGAGACCAGGCTGTTCAGCTTAAGTGATTTTCTGATGGGTAAGGAAGTGGTCAACTGATGGTTGAATGGTCTTAGGTCAGAGTTGGTGTATAATAATCCTTGCATTTAATGTAGCGCCTTATCACATCTTCGAGGCGTCTCAAAGCGCTTCACAGAATATACTGTAAAGTGTATATTTTCAAAGTTTAGAGAGAGAGCGCGCTCCAAGAGTGGTAAACAGCTGTTTATTGTGTCAGATGGGTGTCTGACACATGCGGAAACCCCTCACCATGCTTAAGAGTCTCAAGAACAACTTGCACTTATATAGTGCCCTCCACGCAGGTTAGAGTCTCAGAGCGCTTAACGATGAATTTAAATTGAAACCAAACTGAGAATTCCATGCATCCCACCACAATCCAGCAAAAGTGGCAAAAATACACTACCTTCTGTCATTCCTAGTAACTGGACGAGACACTTAATGACAGGAATGGGCTTCTCTTCAGTGTGTACATGACTCACGGGTCACCGAACACAAACGCTGCTTTTATAGTTCCAATTAACTCTACATAAAGCAAAGGGCTCCCCCATCATTTGAACACTCGCAGTTACATGTTTCCCTTTTAAAAACCTGATGTCCATGCTCCTTTAAATGAATTAACCTTGTTCCAGCCCTATAATACACTATGCTAAGCAGCGCATCACTTGTTTCAGAGATCAAAGAGTTCACAGAACACAGGCGTGGAACTCCTCGGTGCTCCATCTACCTTTGTTTGGGTCAGTACTTCCCAGTTAGAAATCCAGCAAAGATGCTCGTCTTGATCAAGGTAAGTCGATCATACAACAACCCTTTCATTCCATATAGCGCCTCATCACGTCTTCGAGACGTCTCAAAACGCTAGACAGAATATAGTGTATTGTGAATATTGACTGGGGCAGGACTCTGTGACTCATTTAGAAAGCAGCTTGATGCTGTGATGGGGGGCAGTGGGGAAGGTGGTAGGGTGGGCGTTCTCAAGAGATGAAATTGCATCAAGAGATGCAACAAATGTACTTTTTTTTTATTATTATGTTCTAATCGCTCATTATGTTTTCTTCCCAACCCGCTCTCCTCTCCCCTCCTTCTCCGCCACCCCACCTACCAAAAACCTCCCACCCCACCCCAAACATCTCCTGTTGGCAGGTGGTCCCTAAAATCTGCAGCACGCTGATCGAACTTGCACAGCAAGGAGGGGCTTCGTCTTTGAACAGCGATAACGTCAACTTGCAGATCTCCAATAACTCGAACGATAACTTTTGGGCGATAGTCAGGGAGCTGGAAAGCTCGATGGAAGTAGATTCGGCATGTGAACCCTCAACTGTGATAACTCACTCAACTCAACCCTACCCCAACGAATTTAACTATTCTGAGTTCTGATCACTTTCCTTAACCTTCACTGGGGTGCTCTTTAAACCTTTGTCTTTCAACCTGTCCGACAAGCGGGTGTTGCGTTAACGGAAAATGGGGCTGGGAAAGTATAGTATAGTGCTTTTGTTTTCACCTGCGGTTATTTACCTTGCAGTTTACAGAGTAATTTGAAGTGGTGGTTAAGGGTTGATCATTGTCTGCCGTAAAACATTTTTGGGGGGGCAATTAACTAATTAATAGCTGAGGGGGAAAAATATATATTTTTTTAAAAAAATAAAGACAATGTGGCCCACAGCCGGTGTGGGGGAAAAGGCAGCTAAACGGGAAGGAAATGAACGCTCTTAAAAGACCTGGCAAAGACACGATGGGCCAAGTGGATTGTTTCTCTGGTGTTCATTTTCTCTATGTAGAAAGGAACCCGAATGGTGCAGTATAATTTAATAATAATAATCCTTGCATTTGATATAGTGCCTTATCATGTCTTTGAGACGTCTCGAAGCGCTTCACGGGCTATATACTGTAAAATGTAGTGAATGTGTATATTGTGGGCAGAAAAATTGACCCACTGGTTAGGGGAGAGGTTGGGTGTTCATTTTGTAAACGTGATGCTGTTCCAAGCTTCCATCTCTGTGACCCAATAAGATCTGGGGAAGAACAGCACTGGGATATCCTCCTGACATAAAAGGCACTGTACAGATGTAATGTGTTGTTTCGCAACACAACATAAATGCCCTTCAATATTGCACTTCAGTTTTGAAATTAAGAATGAAGGGGGATGGGGGAAAGTGGTAGATACACAAATTAATGTACCTGCACTTAACACTTGAATGTACTATACCCACTATGGAAGGGAATGTTTCTCATAGAAAAGGGGTGAGGGGGGAGTTGGGAAGTCAAGTACGCATTCGTAAAGCATTATCTTTGTGTGAGCTGATGACCATTTGTAACTTTTTGTGTTTGGTATTTATTATATTTAATATCTTTATTGTTAATGACGTCAGTCAACATTTGCAACAGCACTGTTGATGAGATCGGGCTACATGCCGTTCTGGAATTGGGTAATCAGGATGCATCCCTCCGGGGAGAGAGTGCGAATAGAATTCCAACAATCTGTCTCTGGGGTTTCCATGTGTAGGTGGGCTGCAGCTGGCTTGGATACTCTTAAACACGGTGATGGGTTTCTGCATGTGTCAGACAGTTGACTTACCGCCCCCAAAACATTAGATTGGATTGGAGATGGTGTGAAAGGTAGGAGCAAGTGAATGAAATGCTGTAAGTCAAAGTACTTTGCAACAACAATCCACGTTCCTTGAACATAGGCAAGACCTTTGCTAAAAGACGTCTGACCTCTTTAGGACTCTGAGTTGAAAACAGAGTTGGAGCTCAGTGACGATGGGTCTAGATTAACACTGCAGTTTAGTTCTGTTAAAACTCAGATGCCTTGCACGGAAATTACTGTCAACCCTTTGAAAAGGTGACAGAGAATCCTGTACCAAACCTGAAATGCCTCCTCTTTCCCCCCCCCCCCCCCCATCTGGAATTACATGGAATATAATTTTTTCGCGTTGAATGACATGCCTGGCTGTGTTAGGATGTGACGATTGTTCCAGTCGTGACCGGTCGGTTAATCCATCGGGTCGGTTCGAGCTGAATGGATACATATTTTTTTAAAAAATCCAAGTTTATTTTTCAAGAGAGAGTTTGTAGTTTTTGCTACCTGCTCAGAGAGTAAGATGTTTTTTGTCGCAAGATGTTCGCTTGAAATTATAGTCGATTTCATTCCTTGTGTTCGACGAGGAGCCTTTTGACACCGAAATGTTTTGCGGGGAATCACTGCGCAGTGTAGCGACTGTGTTTTGTAGTCAAAATTGCTACGGTGACCCAAGAGTGCTTAGAAGCCTTGTCTGAGAGCTCAGGTTAGAGTCACTTGTAAATCTGAGAGTCTTTGGGAGTCAATCAGTTCTCATTCTTTGGGGGGGGAGGGTTTTTTGTTTTGCTGTTTACAGACCACTGGGATTGCAATTCTCCAAAATCAGCTATTTTTAAAATATATATATATATATATATATATGTGTGTGTGTGTGTATAGATACTGCGAGCTGATGGCTGGCATACTGAATACATGCTTTGCCCGATATTTCTCAGTGAAATAATTGGGCACAAGCCTCTCGAGCCAACAGGGTGCTCAGAACACTCCCATCCATGACCTTCGAGGAATTCGCTGCACCGTGAATTCATCTCTACCCGACCACCATTCCTCACCCCCACCGACCCCCAATGTGGATGGGAGCGGAAATGGGTTAAGTGAAACTGCTAATTGTTGGTTAAACTTAGGATCTTTGGTAAATCTGTGTTTGATAATAAAAATAAGTATGTCATTTTCAATCCTCACTGTTCAGTTTTCAGTTCTCACCGGTTTGCTTTAGCAATAGTGTGCTCTGTTTCTGGCATCATTAAACTGGAATCTTTATGCACTTTGCTTGTTCATGAGTTTACATGTTCAACCGCACTCGAACGCCTCCACACACAGGAAATTCACTAGCACAACAGGAAGAGGTTTTGGAAAGCTCCATTTGCTAATTGACGCTAAGTTCCATTGCTGGCCATAGAGATTTACGGTACAGGTCAATTTTAAAATGTATGAAAGATTCGAATGGCTTCTCGTTCTCAAAAAAACATTAATTAATGCACGGTACAACAGCGATATCCCATGAAAACAGCAACACTGCCAAAATCAACAGTTATCGACAAGCAAAAGATTTCTTTCATGGGATTTTATTGTTCAAGTCTTTCTTAATCACTGCTGAAATGTATCCAGTAACATTATGAATGATAATAATCTTTGCATTTGATACAGCATTTATAAAGTTGAAACATCTCAAAAGTGCTTCACGGTGAATTACTGTAATGTCAAGTGTAGGGCAATTTTCCCCAAAAGCAACCATTTAGTGAATGATCAAGTTATTTGGTTGGTTGTTGGCTTGGACACCTCGGTAAATAGGTCTTGGGGCCTCTGTTGTTAAGTCCCGAGCTTTCTGATGTTGAGAATCTATAAGGAAATGTCCTGCGATCTTTGCTATTCAGAGTCCAAATAGTGGTCAGCGCTGGGGCGTCTGCTGTTAAAGAGACCCACAGAGATTCCATCTCTTTCCCTCCCCTCTGACCCTGATAAATAGTGGACACAGTAGTGAGTGGAGGAAAGATGATGGGGTGGGGGGGGGGAGAAATCAGCGAGCAAAGCAACCCTAAGCTACAGCGAGATTCCTGCCAACCAGCCTCTGAACCACGGTCAACGTGCCCCCGGGACAGGAGTGGGGTGAAAAAAGTGCCGAGATTTCATACCCTAGCGAAAAAGCAGCCCCTCGGGAGGTGACTGTTTTTGATGCTCGGCGATGAATCTGCGTTTGCCGCGAAGTGTCAGCTCTTTGAGGTCAGGCACCCACAATGGGGAAAATCCCAGCCTGGGCACCACATCGACAGAGTGGCTTCACTCATCGGCGAGACGCACTTCTATGTTCCACCATCAGCTCCCCCTCCGCCACCACAACACCCCCACCCACCCCCACCAAAACAGATGTTCACTTCCTTCCGAGGCCATCAACAGGAGGGCACTTTCACTAGTCGTTGAATTCCTGCGGAGAGGGAGAGAAATGACTTAGTTGCAGTGTGTCGTGTCAATTCAACCCACCACATTGGCACAGCTGAACTCGCTACAATACTAATCCGCTCGGCACCCAGTTAGGGGCCAGGAGATCACGGGTGGGCGTGGAGGGTGACTGTTAGTGCCAGGAGTCAAGTTGCTCACTGCACGATTTCCCCCCAATACACCCACACTCTTGCGGCTGTACGTAAACCGGAGGAGATTGCTCGGAGGTTTGATGCAGCTCAAAGCAAATTTTCACTCCTTGAAAGCATACCAAAATAGACCGACTGACGGTGTATAAAAGAATAGCGGACGGTCAGAGCCCCGAAGCGGGGCTTGAGCTCACAGCCTTCTGACTCGGGCAGTGGGGGGGACGAGAGTGTTCCAAACTGAGTGAGGCCGACACCCACATAAGCAGGAGAAGATCCGCAGAACATCTCACGGCTTTCTACAGCACCGAGGTAACTGCAAAATGATTACGATATAAAGCAGCACGATGTTACCATTAGTGGGTGAGGTGGTGGGGAGGGGGAGGAGGTTATGAGTAATTTTGACATTGAAATAAGAGCCATTTGAGGCTATCAAACTCCAAGGAGCGAGGTGCGTATTTTTTGCTCTCCCTCTCACACTCCTGTATTAAGGACTGTCAACAACAACAACAACTTGCATTCGTATAGCGCTCCCTCACGCATGGTAGCGTCCCAGAGTGCTTGACAGTGGCGGAACACGACTCCGAGCCAGGGTGAGGGTTGAGGTGACCGAAAGCATGGTCGAATAGGAAGGTCTTCAGGCCGCGACCTGAAAAATGCAGAAGGTAGGGGCAAAGGCGGAGGGATAGAGGAAGAGTGTTTAAGAGTTTCGGGGCATAGTGGCTGAAAGCACGGCCACCAATGGTGGAACAGAGGGCACGAGAGACGTGGATAGTTAGCGTGGACATGGCTTGGAAGAGTCGTTCTGCAGAACTTTCGCTAACAAACCTGTTTCGTTATGTTGACCGTTGCATCTCCTATGACCAAAACCCCACACCCCTCAACTTTGTTGGGGACCTTCAGCTCAGCCACTGGAAATTGAAACAGATCAGTTCTAATCATAAGCACAAGATATAGGTAAAGAAATCCCTTTGGCCAATTTCATCTAATCCTTCCAGAATATACCCACCCTACAGACTTCCCACCAGAAGGAAACCTATCACCAAGTTTAGGAATATCCAAATCAGACTGAGAATCTATGGAAATCCCAGAGATAGATTGTTGGAATGGAAGAGCCAAGGCTTGGGGACCCCAGAGTGTGCATTCGGGGTAACTGCTGGAGACTAACCAGCTAAAACCCCATAGCCTGCCATTGAAACAATACCTTTCACATCAGACTAAAATGCACCTTGCAGAACAGAATTGAATGGAAATTGATTGGAATTAAGTGAAAGCTGTTATACGAGCAAACACGCTGCTGAACCCCTAAACAGGGATGAGGTGAGCACCAATTAAATTGGGTGTAAATTTACATGACTAAATTCATCGAAAAAAGAGATTAAGATACTGGGGAGTTGAATTTAAATTTACATTGAATAACATGGCAAGAGGGGAAAGCTCCACTTTAATCTCATGTCTCCACGTCCACGGAAGGATTGAGGGAGAACGTTCCAGAGTTTCGGGGTGTAATGGCTGAAGGCTGATGTTGGAACAGAGGGCATGAGGGACAAACAGGAGGCCGGAGCCAGCCGAGCGGAGGCAGCGGGCGGTGGGAGTGATTGTCACATCCCGGGCTTCCATCCACATTAATCTCATGTCTGCATGTCCAGTGAATATGCACAGATGTTAACGTACCTTTCAAATGGTTATTGGACGTCCCCTTGGCCTTGCCGGTGCAGAACAGGAGCTCAGTCCTGAAGTCTGTGCCACATTTATCACAGGTCTTTATGTTGTCCTCTGCACCCAGCTCACTGGAAGATGCAAACCCATCAGATTGTATCAAAATATATCACCAGCAACTCATCAGTCACCAACAACAACCACTTGCCTTCACGTCTCTAAGCGGTTCACGCTGGGGAATGGGGGTGGGGGGGGTGGGGGGAAGGTGCAGATCCTGAGCAAAGGGAAGAGGGAGGTGACCAAAAGCACGGTCAAAGAGGCAAGTTTTAAGATGGGATTTAAGGACAGATAAAGAGGGCGAGGTCCAAAGGTTAGGGGCTCAGTGACTGAATAATAATAATAATAATCCTTGCATTTGATATAGCGCTTTTCACGTCAGGAGGACGTCCCAAAGCGCTTCACAGAACACACTGTAAAGTGAATTGACTGTCTATTTGTGGGCGAACGCGGCAGCCAATTGTGCACAGCAATGTCCCACAAACAGTCGTAGATTGAAAATGACCAATTTAATTATTGTTTTTGGTTTTTTTGGAGGGATTATTATTAGGCTCTGTGTGGAGTAAGGAAACTTGCCCAAGGTTTCACCCTCTGCCTGGAATTGAACTCAGGTCTCTCATTTGCAAAGCGAGTGCTCTAACCACTGAGCTACAGGACTCCACTGAAGGCACGGCCACAGTAATAATAATAATAGTCCTTGCATTTGATATAGCGCTTTTCATGTCTTCTCAACGTCTCAAAGCGCTTCACAGAATAGACTGTAAAGTGAATTGACTGTATATTTGTGGGCGAAACGCAGCAGCCAATTGCGCACAGCGGCGTCCCACAAACAGCCGTGGATTGAAAATGACCAATTTATTATTGTTTCGTTTCGGAGGGATTGTTATTACAGTAGCGCATGTTTACTGAGCAGAGTGGGCGAGCAGAGGAGTGGGGTAGATCAGAGAGAGAGGGAGGTGACCAGATCGGAGAGCTAGGGAGGTGACAGTCATGAAAATGACTGGCCAGTCATTTTACAGCTGTTTGCTGTGGACATAGTAACTCCTGCAATGGCCTACAAATACACAGTCACTACACTTGCCTGTGAAACACTCTTTGAGACATTTTGATGTCACAGACGTGGTATCAAATGCAACGATTATCACTAGTATTGTGTTTTAACACAAACTCAACACTTAGTAAATTGGCTGTTGCCTCTCTCTCTCTTTCTCTCTGCAGCAAACTTTCTCGTTTTTCTCTACTTTCGATATTTTTTGATATCATTGCTTCCCTGAGCTTTCTTTGTTGTTCCTCACAAGCTCCAAACACAAAACCTTCCTCCTCCCCTTGGATTGAAATGAAACCTCAGCTCGCCGGTTTTTAACAGCTCGACACTTTTCATGTAAGATAACGTCTCGAAGGGTCAACTTATAGTCTCCCCAAACCTCTGGTACCGCGGAATTCATTTCCCTCAGTCGCCCTTTCTGCCCCGAATCTAAAAGCTTTTAAAAGTCAGGCTTGTTGTCACCCGATTTTCAGGCAAGTGGCAAAGTTAAGGTGAGGCTGCACGATGCTAAGCGCAGTTGGGCGCAGTTGGCTAAGGCAGACGTACATGTCTTCATCCTTCTCATCCAGGTCGGGCCAGTCAAAATGATTGTCGCATCCGGGATTCCTACATGGAGTCTTCAGGCAGTAATGAAGGCCGGGCCACTGATCAACCACCTTCTTGATGAAGTGAATGGCCATTGTGATTCGACACCACCTGTCACTGAAGTCTTAAGCAGCGGAGAAAGAGGGAAAAAATTGTCAGAGAGTCGTGAAGGCAAGTCGTGAAGGGCATTAAACTCACACTGTCGCAGTTCTCTCTCTGAACAGCATTCACTGAGGATTATTTTCTGGGAACGTAAGACTATTCATCCATCGACACTTCTCCCCCATTGCCCAATCCCTCACTCTCCTCCCTTCCTTGTCAACTTAATAATAATCCTTGCATTTGAGCTTAATGATAATGAACTTAAGTGGATATACTGAAATGATGTGGAACAAGAGGCTCTTTCGGCACATCTGCTCCAAAATCTTGTGTGTCTGTGTGTTTGTGGAGTCCTGTAGCTCAGTGGTTAGAGTATTCGCTTTGCAAGCGAGAGACCTGAGTTCAATTCCAGGCAGAGGGCGAAACCTTGGGCAAGTTTCCTTACTCCACACAGAGCCTAATAATAATCCCTCCAAAACCAAAAACAATAATAAATTGGACATTTTCAATCTACGACTGTTTGTGGGACATTGCTGTGCGCAATTGGCTGCCGCGTTCGCCCACAAATATACAGTCAATTCACTTTACAGTGTGTTCTGTGAAGCACTTTGGGACGTCCTCCCGACGTGAAAAGCGCTATATCAAATGCAAGGATTATTATTATTATTATTATTATTATTCCTCTCCTCCTTCCCTCCCGCCCTCCCTCTAGCAAACACTCTGGACTATTAATCCATTGTCACACCCCTCACATTGATCTGTCCCATCCATTCCTCCCTCCCTCCTTCCCTCTCCCTCTCTCCTCCCTCCCTCCCTCCCTCTCTCCCTCCCCCTCCTCCCTCCTTCCCTCCCTCTCCTTCCCTCCCTCCCTCCCTCCATGTGCCAGTGATTTGGATTTTCCTACCGTTTTGCTCCCCTTCCTTTGCCTTGCACCGGATCTCGATGTAGCTGTTCGCCTCCTCGTTGTGTTCCTTCAGGAGCAGTTTCCATCCAGAGCAAACTACCAGACATCGTTCTTTCCCAACCCAGTGCGACTGAATGAAATCACACAGCTTAATGATAACCCTGTGGGACGTAGAGATTGTCACTGACTGGTTCAGTTGCTTCAACCATCTTCTCCCTCCACCCACCCCATCCATCCATCTATCTCACTCCTTTCTCCTTGTCTCACTCCGCATTACATGGAGTCCTTCAGCTCAGTGGTTAGAGCACTGGCCTCGCAAGTGAGAGACCTGGGTTCGCTTCCCGGCATGGCCTGCCCGAGAATCAAACCTGGGACCTCTCGCTTGTGAAGCAATTCCCCCAACCAATGGAACAAGAAAGAGAGACAGAGATACCCAGTGTGGAGAGTTACCTGTGAAAGAATCCCTGTGGAATCTCAGGCAAGAAGAAGATTTGAACCCTCAGGTCTTCTTCACTGTCTTCTCCCCATTTTGCGTCCACCTCTTTCGTATCACTTAAATAACTGGGGAATAAATAAGTAAGAGATCGGGTATTGTTCAACTGGTTCCATGGTGATCCCGGCTTGAACTCTTTGGCGTCCGGATTCAGTGATATGGATTTGGAAGGGAGGCATATATCGAAATTTTCCAAGATATCGAAGAGCTTCCCTTTTTCTGTCTCGTCCCCAATCATTTCGTTAGCGATCTCCTGCAGGCTGGCATTGCCCAGCACCTCAAACTTGACCAGCATGGCGATCGCTTTGTCGTGTAGCGTTGCTTTGGTCCGGAAGTCAAAGACCCACTTGTTCTTATCGGGGACGTTAGCCCAGTGTTTCTTCAGCACCTTGCTTGGGATGCTTTGCAGCTGATCCAACAGGTCATGGCGAACAATCATCTGCAATACATAGACTCTCACATCAAAGCAGCAACAACAACAATAAATACTTGCTTCGATAACATAACGCTCTCTCTCTCCAGGGTTAAGGAGAGAGGCTCGAACCTTTCGGAACAGTCCAAGCTTCCCTGGAGTCTTGACGCTAACAGGGTCATCATTTCCAGCTGAGAGGACGGCATCTATGGGAACCAGAGTGCACTCACCTGTCAAAAAAGCCACTCACCTTGAACAGGGTGATGAGGAAAGCTGGCTTGATGAATAAAGTCGACTTCAAAGCCTTGATGTCTTGGTACCACAAGATTAATCCGATCCGATGCAGGTAGCTGAGGATGTGCTCGAGATGCTCTTCATTAAAATTACTAAGCTTGTCCTTCAGCTCCTCATAAGACAGGATACCTGTTCAAACAAAAAGAGGTGGTGGTTACTTTGCATCCAAGTAATCAAGCAATGGAAATCCATTTCCCTTCCACAAAGGCTGTCAGCTTTTGAGGCCAATTCACCTGCTTTCTGTGCACGCATTCATCTTATTTCGCCCACAAAATACACAGTCAATTCACTTTACGGTATATCCCGTGAAGCTCTTTGAGACGTCTCGACGACGTGACAAGGCGCTATATCAAACGAAAGGATTATTATTATTATTATTATTTTGTGTACTTAAAAGCCGTCCACTCTGTAAAGCAAAGAACCCAGTAGGTCCCGGAGGCAGAGAAGATGGCATTGCTCAGCTACAAAAGCACCCGTAAATCCTGTGAAGCACTCTGAATGACAGGCCTCACTGTGACCGATAATCACATGCCCGACAATTGCAGTCAAAACATGAGGGAGAAGGGAACAGAGGAGAGCAGCGGGGCTGGTGTGGAGTATAAACACCGGCACGTTAGTTGGGCTGTTTTGGTGTTGTATCACTTCAAGTAGCTCGGTAAATCAGTCGAGAAGTATCGACCAGCTGGGGATGAGATCCTGAGCGAAAGGTACTAGAGAAATGCAAGCTGTCATCGACCCTTCCTGTCCATTCCCCTCCGCACTCCCCACCCCTCCCGTGCCCCCACCACCCCTCGACCCCACGCCACCCCAACGATTATCGCATTGTGTGGAGTCACCGGCCGCACGCGTTCACAGTCTACCAACCACCAACCGTCTCACCGTGCTCCGGTATTTCCTGCTGTTGGACGAGCTGCGCAATTGCCTTCTCCACGGCTGTGTACGTGCTCGGGAGCATGCGGACGGCGTTGGGGAAAATGTCTTCATTCCTCACTGACTGGAGAATCTGCTTACGCACATTGTTTATGTCTGTGTATTGAGTGCAGTCAATCGGGATCAGGTCTAGAACCTAGAAAAGTCACACGTACCTTTAGCCATACTCAACAGTAAACCTCTCATAAGTGATATCATATTTAATATGACTTAATCAAAGCATGCATTAGGTCAAACTTGAATAGAAAATAAACTTGTGAACAGGATTTGGGCTGTTATACGATTTATACAGATCAGAATGCTAAAAACCCTTGCATTTGATATAGTGTCTTATCACATCATCGACACGTCTCAAGGAGCCTCACAGGATTTTACTGTGAAGTGCTGTCAGCGACAGCATTTTGTAGGCAAATGTGGCTGGCAATTTGCATACAGCAAAGCCTCCACAAACGGCCATCAAATGAATGATCAATTTCCTTTGGGGGATTGTTGGCCAGGTTAATAATAACACTAAAAAAAATGTTCTTATATAACACATTTATTGGACTCTCACTCCATGGCTGTTTGTGTGACATAGCACACAGTATATCCTGTGAAGCGCTTTGAGACGTCTCGACGACATGCAAAGGCCCTATATCAAGTGCAAGGATTATTATGATTAACTCTTTAAACACTGTAAGTGTGAACATAAGCTACTATTACAGAACAGGTTTCATCAAATACAACACCTGTAAATTGTACTTGGCTAATTCTTGGAGTTTATTGGCTTGATCGCTGTAAAATTCACAGTGGGATTTCTTGTTTATCTTCTCCAGACGCTGTTCCAAGTTCTCCTGTCTCTCGGTCAGCATTTCCCTGATCTTCACCTCAATGTCTTTCTTCTTCGTCCTCATCTCCTCTTCATCGCACAGGTCTACGTGGGTCCCTACGGGGAGCACCACCGAATCGGGAACTCGCATGAAAATGTTGTTGACCCAGAAGCCAACCAGTTCCTTGAAGACACATTTGTTTCCTACCTCGTACCTGAAAGACAGTCAGCCATCAGTCACAACCATGAGGAAATGTGGAACGACACCCATCCCAGTCAGACCAACACCATATGATAATAATAATAATAATGTAATAATAATCTTTGCATTTGATGCAACTCCTTATCATGTCTTTGAGACGTCTCAAAGCGCTTCACAGAATATACTGTAAAGTGAATTGACCGTATATTTTGTGGGCGAATCGCGGCAGCCAATTATGCACAGCAGCGACCCACAAACAGTCGTGGATTGAAGTGACCAAATTTTTTTTAAAGGGGTAATTACCCCCGGAAAAGCAATCCACCAATCCACTAACAACCGGGTTCCTACTGTTAGGTAAACAGAGGTGTGTGGAGTAAGGAAACTTGTCCAACGTTTCGCCCTGCCTGGGAATCGAACCCAAGTCCTCTCGCCTGCGAGGGCGAGTGCTCTAACCACTGAGCTACTGGACTTCAACTATTCCAATATATTCTGTGAAGCGCTTTGAGAAGTCTCAATGGGGTTGCGGGAGGGAGGATTACCAGCCAGGAGACAAAGAAGAATAGCGACACAGGATCTTTAACGTGCTCTGAACTTGGTCGTGGTTTGGGGTGGGGGAAAAGGAGGGAATTTATGGGACTAAAGAGAAGGGCTGGTGAACAGAGCAAAAATAAAAGGGTTGGCGCAAAAGAGGAAAGCAAACTGATTGCGGAGGATGGGAAAATTCGAAATTCGAGCCACAGATAAAAAAAAGAACGAGTTTCAGCTTCAATTGTTCTTACGGTTACCCCCACCCTCTTCTTGAGAAAACAAAGCTGCTCACTTGTGCAAGTCGATGACCAGAATGACCAAGGCTTGCCTGGTGATGAAGACATGGTGAGTGAGGTAATACTCGTGCTGACCGGCAAAGTCCCAGCACAGGAAGGAGAAGTCCTCGATCTCAAACTCGTTGATCTCAATGCCGACCGTCCTATCTCCCTCGCTGACCTCCACCACCTCCCTCGCGCTCAGACTCCTGCTCAGGGTGGACTTGCCAGCCATGGAGGTCCCCAGGAACATGGTCTTGATCCTCTTGTCCTCTCTGTTGGCCCCGGTCATGAGCTGCTTGAAGTAGCTGCGGATGTGCCTGAGCCCCCCGGCGCACACCTCGTCCGGAGGGGCTCGCAGGCGGTTTTTGGAGGCGTTGAACTTCCGCAGCCCCTCGTTCTCGAAGAGGGCAGCCGGGAGCTCCCGTAGCTTGTTGTTCTCCACGTAGAACTCCTCCAGCTTGTTCAGCTTCAGCACGGCTTCGGGAATCTTCTGGAGCAGGTTGTGGGACAGGTTGATGTACTGAAGCTCCCGGCAGGTGCTGAGATCCGAGGGCAGGTCCATCAAACGGTTGTTGCTCAGCCTCAGCAGCTTCAGCAGCGGGAGGCAGGTGAAAATGCCCTCGTCCACCTGGGCGATGCTGTTCTGGTTCAAGTAAAGCTTCTCCAGGGCAGGTAGAGAGGCGATTTCCTGCGGAAAGGTGGTCAATTCGTTCTTGGACAGGATAAGGGACTTAAGGTTCTGCAGTTTGGAGATATCATTGATGCTTTTCAGTTTGTTGCGATCCAAATTGAGGTTTTCGATTTCCACCCTCTGCAGGATAGAGGGAGGAATCACTTTCAGACGTCGCTTTGACAGATCAGCGTCTTTCTCTGAGCGCGGTCCCCCTGGTTGGCTTTGATCTGAAAAAGGAAAGACATGTGGGGTGTGGGAGAGGAAGGGGGCGTGGGAGGGAAGGGGAGGGGGAGGTGAGGGGGTTATTATAATAATAACAATGGCACCATTTGGAAAGACAGGAACTTTCTCGTCTCTCCTGGTGACTGTATTCTTTGCGGGCGAAACGCGGCAGCTACAATTATGCCTCACAATCAGCCGTGATTATTTGGGGGATTGGGGATTGTTGTCCAAGACACCGGGGCGGGGGGGGGCGGAAAAAAAAAGCTCCCTCCTCCACCCAAAACAGGCAGACGGGTTTAGTGTTTCGTCCAAAGGATGGCACCTCTGACAAGGCACTGCACTGGAGCGTCAAGTTAGACTATGTGATACCAAAGGAAGTAACAATACAGACGAGCTTCTGGTGATAAAACCAGCTGCCCGGGATCTGAGCGTCCACAAAGGTGCCCCACCCTTATCTTCTCACTGGAGGAAATACATTAACAGGCGAGTAATTGACACTAATGAGTAACAGACACGTCAGTCTCGCCTGCGAGCTCGTGGGCAGCAGTCCTTCAAGACCTTCCTCTTCAACCTCGCCTTCAAACATCCTCCTACTCCTGCTCTCCCTGTCCCCGGCTCCTCCTGATCCCAACACCCACCCAGCTCGGGTACGAATCCTTGACTGTCCCAGGCCTTGGGACGTTCTCCCGAATTGAAAGGCTCTGTGCAAGTGTAATTTGCTGCTGTTGTGGCCTGTCGGAGAGCCTAACAGCAGCATGGTTTGATGCCGAGCTGGGAAGAGAGGACACAGAGAGAGGCTTTTCCCTGCACAAACCGGTCTTGTTGGTTTACAGCATTTTCTCCTCTGAATGCTCCTCCAGTGAATCACTCTCACTGCTCACTGCTCAATACAATGATCAGATCAGATGGCCCTTTAGATGCATTTCACATTGTGCTTATTTTGGGGAAGAAAACAAAGCTACTAGTATTTAAAGAAATTGTTGCGGTCGCAGTATATTTGAGTATCAGCATGTATTGTGCTATTTTACCCTCGGTGACTTCTGTTATCTCCCACAGCCCACCCCAACCCACCAGAATCCGAAATGTTGACTGATGATTTGTATGAATGGGAATTTTGGGCTGATCACAGTGACTGAGATAAAGGGAGAAACACACACACACACACACAAGGAGAGAGACGTATAGGGAGAAAGAGAGAGATATACGCAGGGAAAAAGACAGCCACACATAAGGAGAGAAGAACACACACACATAGGAAAAGAGAGACACACACACACGGGCGCACAAACAGATGTAAAGTGAGAAAGAAACCCACACAGGGAAAAAGAGAAACAGAAGTGCCAAAAGTGTGTGTCTGAACAGTGGTTGGAGGTAAAATGAAAGAGAGAGAGAGAGAGAGAAGCGGTGACAGCATAGACAGTGAGATGCTGTGGGCTCCATCCAGCCCTGGGGAGGTGTAGCCTTTCGCTGCCTCACCAAGAGATACCGCATGTCCAAGTAACCATGCGATGAATCTCCGACTAACTTTGCGATGGCACAAGTCAATCACTCTTTGGGGCAGACAGATAGACAGGGAGAGAGAGACTGACAGTGAGAGAGACAGACAGTGAGAGACAGGCAGAGAGAGAGACTGACAGTAAGAGAGACAGACAGTGAGAGACAGACAGAGAGAGAGACTGACAGTGAGAGAGGCAGACAGTGAGAGACAGGCAGAGAGAGAGACTGACAGTGAGAGAGACAGACAGTGAGAGACAGGCAGAGAGAGAGACTGACAGTAAGAGAGACAGACAGTGAGAGAGGCAGACAGTGAGAGACAGACAGAGAGAGAGAGAGACTGACAGTGAGAGAGACTGACAGTGAAAGAGACAGACAGCGAGAGACAGACAGAGACCGACAGTGAGAGACACGGACAGTGAGAGAGAGACAGACAGAGACTGACAGTAAGAGACACAGACAGTGAGAGAGAGACAGACAGACAGAGACTGAGAGTGAGAGACACACAGACAGGTTTGAAGATCCAATCGCCCTTGTTAACGCAGAAAGAAGTCAATGAGATCAGTAGTTCAAAACCACACACAGACACCGCCATGCAGCTAACCCAAAGCAACAAAGCAAAGCCATCCATTAACATAGATTACAGACTGTTTAAAAGACACCAGAAACCCACTCACTGCTTCTCTGAGCCATTTCTTTTTCCGGCTTTTTGGCCACCCAAGTGAAACTGAAAGTCAGATGACGTGCCAATTGTGGAGACCTGTAGCTCAGTGGTTAGAGCACTCGCTTTGCAAGCGAGACACCTGGGTTCAATTCCAGGCAGAGGGCGAAACCTTGGGCAAGTTTCCTTACTCCACACAGAGCCTAATAATAATCCCTCCAAAACCAAAAACAATAATAAATTGGTCATTTTCAATCTACGATTGTTTGTGGGACATTGCTGTGCGCAATTGGCTGCCGCGTTCGCCCACAAATACACAGTCAATTCACTTTACAGTGTGTTCTGTGAAGCGCTTTGGGACGTCCTCCCGACGTGAAAAGCGCTATATCATATGCAAGGATTATTATTATTATTATTAATATGAAGCTGTGTGGTTTGGGCAGAAGACTGGGAGCAGCTGGGGTCAGAGGTGGATCTATAATAAAATAATAATCCTTGCATCTACACAGCGCCCGATCGCGTCTTCGAGACGTTTGCGGGCGAAACCCGGCAGCCAATAGCGCGCAGCAGTGCTCCGCAAAGAGTCGCGGATTGAAGCGACCAATTTATTATTATTATTTTTCATTATGATAGATCTATGTTAGGTCTCGGGTAAATTCTTCTTGAGAAGAGATTTTTCCTTTCGAAAGAAAATAATAATAATAATAATAATAATAACCGGGTCAATCAATCGCGACCGTTTGTGGGACGCTGCTGTGAGCAATTGGCTGCCGCGTTTCGGGCATAAAATATACAGTCTCACGACACTTTACAGCATATTCTGTGAAGTGCTTCGAGACGTTTCAAAGACGTAATAAGGCGCTAAATCAAATGCAAGGATTATTATCATCATTATGTGACCTCCATTCACTCCCCTATCCTCCACGACCCCTTCAAAGCCCATGGCTTTCGCCTGTCTACTTCCTTCCCTCTTCAAACAACAATTTGCATTTACATAGCGCCCCTCATGTAGCGTAGCGCCCCAGAGCGCTCGACAGTGGCAGAGCACGAACCTGAGCTGGGGGGGGCGGGGGGGAAGGGGGAGGTGACAATAGGCACAGTCTAAGAGGAAGGGCTTCAGGCTTGGAGACTGAAGATGGGGAAGGAGGGGGCAAGGTGGAGGAGGGATAGAGGAAGAGATGCCAGGGCGCGAGTGTGAGGATCTTGAAATCAATCTGTTTGACGGTAGGAAGTGGAGTGTGGCTAGAACTGGTATGATGGGGGTACGGAGTGGACTGACACACGATGGACTGACTCTTGCCTCCGCCACATTGCTTGGCGGAAAGTTCCACGTCTCAGCGACTCGAGTGGAAAAACCAATTCACTTAAGTTCACCTTTCGTCATCTTGTTGCTATTTTATAACTAAGATAGTTATACGCGTGCTCTCGCCTGGTGTTCACGCCACACGATTCTCCACACCTCCTATACCCCTCTATTCCCTTCTCCCCCACTCTCGCCCGACTCCATTGGCTCCCTATCCTTCAGAGGATCCAGTTCAAGATCCTGGTCCTCACATACGAAGCCCTCCATGGCCTCACCCCACCCAACCTCTGCGACCTCCTAACCCCCTACTAACCCGCCCATTCCCTCCGCTCAGCCGGCTCTGGCTGCTCCACGTCCCCCGACCCACCCGCCCCACCATTGGCGGGAGAGCCTTCAGCCACTCTGCCCCCAACCTCTGGAATTCCATCCCCCGGTCACTCCACCTCGCCTCCTGCTCAGTCTCCTTCAAGTCCCGCCTCAAGACGCTCCTCTTCGACCATGCCATTGGCCACCCCCCTCTTCCCCTCCCTTCTCCCCCACGACCCCAGCTCGGGTCTGAAATGCTGTACACTGTCCAGCGCCTTGGGACGTCCTCCCGACGTGAAAGGCGCAATACGAATGTAATCTTGTTGTTGTTGTTCATACTTGTCATTGTAATAATCCTGGATAATAACAATGATTTAACTTGTTGATAGTTGACTGTTATACACTCCTTCAGAGACTGAAAATGAAATGAGTTTCTTTAAGCTTTTATATATATATATAAACAATCCTTGCATTTGATATAGCGCTTTTCACGTCTTCTAGACATCTCAAAGCACTTCAGAGTATACTGTAAAGTGAATTGACTGTATATTTGTAGGCGAAACACAGCAGCCAATTGCGCACAGCAGCGTCCCACAAACAGTCATGGATTGAAGTGACCAATTCTATTGGGGTTTTTTCTTGAGGGATTATTATTAGGCTCTGTGTGGAGTAAGGAAACTTGCCCAAGGTTTCGCCCTCTGGCTGGAATTGAACTCCGGTCTCTCGCTTGCAAAGCGAGTGCTCTAACCACTGAGCTACAGGACTCCTAGCCTGACACTGCACCACCTTGCCTCCTCCTTGCCAGTCTTTACATCTGAAGACCTTCTTTAACTGTGCCTTCCCGCACCAACTCGGATCAGGTTCCGCCCTTGTTAAGCACTCCCCCCATGTGAAGGGTCTGTATAAATGTAAATTGTTGTTGGAGGTGCTCTTTTGAGTATAAGGAAAAGTTTTACTGTTAAATCAGCTGAACTCCTACAAACGTCAGATTAAAATGGGTTTGGTTACATTATCATAAGCTATAAACTTCCTGTGGACATAATCATTTGCTTGGAAACAGCGAAGATCAATACCTAATGCAGCATTTTGCCAAGTAAAAAAAAAGAAGGAATTCACTGGACTTTAGAAATCATCACACATGTGGTGGATAGCAGGAGAAAATAACAAAAATGCAGTTTTTATTGTACCAGAACAAGGTCATTTAACATTATTTTCGTTTTTTAAAAAAGTGATGGAAGGATGAAAGTCACAATGCAGAAGTGTGTGATGAGCACTCACCCGTGATACCCTGCAACTAAAGTATTGTGATAATCTGAGAATGTGGTGTATATGTGTGTTCCCCCTTTTTTTAAAAAAAAGGTACACGTTGACATTTTATTTCACCACCAAAAAGGCAACTGCTTTTATTTTATTTACACCTGTTCCTGCAAAACTATCCTGAAGATTCAACTTTTTGACCACCCCTACCATCTCCCCCCCCCGAAAGAATCAGGCTATCAAACAGCAGTGTGAAGGGCTTGAGCCGTCCTCTTGATATAAAAGGAGCTGTATAAATGTAAATTGTTGCTGTGTCTAATGGCCAGAGAAAGATTTGTTGTGAACAGGGTATCAGCAATCCTGCGAGATCCCTGCTCTGAATCAAACTCTGACCGTGAAGCCACTCAGCTGTGTGTCGCTCAGTCACTATCAGTGAATCCCATTGTGAAGCACTGTTTAAACCCAGTCGATTCCCGGCAATATCTACTGCGAACTTGGCCTGAAGTTCAAAGCCGATGCCTTCTGAGACCCTTTGGTCTTCAACCCTTAAACACTCTGCCGAATGCTTCAAATTTATTTCAAAAAATCGAAAATTGTCTCTTCCCTTGAAAGATACGCTGCCATTTTAATGTTTCTATCCACAGCCCGTGCTTCACTGTAGGATGCAGTTCCACAACTACCCCCAGATCTGGTGCTTGGCCCACAAGATCGACAAGCTGAGCTTCGCTGAGCTATTGAGAGCAGGAATCCTAGTTGCCAAATTTCGCCCTTACCCTACAAAATACACGGATGTAAAACTACGCTTTATAGTAAATTCTATGAAGCGCTTTGAGACAATTTTTGACGTGATAGGTGCCGTACATAATCAAATGCAAGGATTCTTATTACTGAATTATCAGGGGTATATTGTTTTATCTTAAATAAAATTAGAAAAACTGTAATGAAAGCACTCGATAGCAATTGGTGAAACAATCTGATTGCCAAGAGACTGAGCGAGTAAATGTACAGCTGTTCTTTTTAGGAACTGAATTTACCTCGGCCCTCCTAACTTTCAGCTGCAAATTGTTTTTAAAAAATCCACAAGGATTTAATTTAAAAAGAATTTAAACCAATGCACAGTGAGAATACAATACTGTATTGCCTTGTTTCACTCACAAAATATAGTCAATTCACTTTATATTCAGTCAATATTCTGTGAACCGCTTTGAGACGTCTCGAAGATGTGATAAGTCGCTATATCAAATGCAATATATTATTATTACTGAGTGTGATCCCACTGGGTTGAGGTCTGCCTGGCTCCCATATTAACCTCCAAATTGTTCTTTGAATAGAAAAATACTTTGAGAGTTGTCGTGCCTTTTCATACCTTTACCTCATGATGTACATCTGTCTCCTTTTGTTGTTGTCCCTGATTGAGATCGAAGATATCTGTGACTGTTTCCTCGTAGGTAAGCAGGATAAATTGCAAACAACAAAATGCAAACAGTAAAACCATGCGATTTCAATACTTTACAGGAAAGAAAGCATTAGAAGGCGTTGTAGATGCTCTGCAGTTTAGTTCACACAAAATACAAGTTAAGCTGCAAAAATAAACTTTGGACTTATCGGCAAGCAACCATATATTAATCTTTTTAACCATATTATCTCCTTGATCAGGAGGCCAAATAACTCATTTTCACAGAGTCCTGAACATTTGCTTTGAGTGCTTCAGAAACGTGAAGAAAATGTTCAGTGTGGGCTTCTGCAAAATACATGGATGATTGTGATTTTAGTTGGGGCTTTATTGCAGGCGTAGACAGAAAAAAGCAAATTAATAATAGCCAGCATGAATTAACACCTGTAAGACTGCATTTTATCATCACAAGCCATAATTATTTCAATTCATACGAGGGACAAGCTAGGGAGGGAGGGTGTGGGGAGAAGAAAAATTTAAGTGCTACAATTTATCTAACAAATTAATTTTTTGAATATTATTTACAGAAATAAAGATGCAATCATGGCTTTTAAATTATAATTTATGACAAGAGGTTTGTAGAATATTGGTGAACCTTTACCAAACTATGTTACATTTTTGCCCAGAACAAGTCATCTAAAAAATAAGGAAACCATTTTGAATAAAAGTGACCAATATTTTATAAACTCGTGTTACTTAGGCAATTCTTTTTTTTTATCCTTTCGAGCCGCTATCAGACAAACTAAACAGAGCTTCAAGTATTCAGTCCAATCTTACATAAAAGGAACATTATTCTAAACGCCATAAACGCCGTCTAAAAATCTCATTCATGACAGGGTAGATGGTAATGTTGTGGCATCAACTCGTTCTTTGTACAAAAGAGGAAAAATAAAGTTCCAGTTGCAAAGCTTCTTGACGTTTGTTTTGTTACAGGTGCACTTTGACTTTGACTGGCGATGCTATCAAATAAAAAATATGTTGCTACTCCAGCCGCCGATACCCTGCTTGTAAGAGGTCGGTTTCCCAGAGTTCACCGTATGTGTTCACACGAGTTAAGAGTCCCCAGTGCACTGACACTCGTATTGTCTGTGCAGGTTTCACATGTTTCAGCTCTCTTCTGCTTTGGGGTCTGTTTCTTGGCTGGTTTCCCCCGCTTCGCCTTTCTTATGTTTCCTTATGTGTTTGTATTTCTCCACGTATCCCTTCACAAGGTTGGCAACCTTAACTGGGTTGATTTCACCACTCTTGCTGTGGCAGATCTGGTATTGTCACACACACACACACAAACACACACACACACACACAAAAAAGTCAAGTCACAGCTTTTTTTTCAGAACAGCGCCAATGATAACTTTCGTATCGTAACTTTTATTACCTGGAATGTCACGTTGACTCTTTCTGGGGTAGAACTATGTTCCTCCTCAGTAGGTGGCCGTGCAATAATTTAAGAGCACCACAAGGATATCAACAACAAATTGCATTGATTTGGATTAATATTTCACCTGACTAAACAAAATGAATAACCAGCCTTTCACGTTGGTTATTCATTCATTTAGGTGGGTGAAATATTAATCCACGACAGCCATGTGCCACACTTTTATGGAAATCTGTCCATACTTCTGAAGTTCTCTGATACGCTGCCCTGCGTGAAGGGCGCTATGTAAATACAAGTTGTTGTTGTTGAAATCTGAATTTAAATTAAGTTCTCCAGTCTCTAATGATCTGTGTGATTAGTAGGAGAGGAACTGGCTGCCACTTTACAAAAGTTATGATCAGACAAAAAGAAAAAAAATTATTTTAAACCCCTAAACATGTTCTGATCTAAAAGGTATCAATATTCCCACAAATATATTCTGGATTTAGGATTATTTTTGATCTCTCAGAGTATTAGTCTATCCCTTGTAGACTAATATAGTGCCTTATCCCGTTGTCACGATGTCTCACAAGGTTCGAGTAGAATGTCTGTGCATTTGTAGGGGATTGTGGCAGCCAAATTGTTCACAGAATTATCTCACAAACTGCCGTTTAACTGAATGAGTTATTTTACTAAAAACTTGTCTGAACCCAAATTGTGAGCCGTATTATCATGTTGTCCAAGTACTTATGAAGTAACACAATGTTACAAAGAGCAGAAAATAAACTTGGCGACAAGACTGCCTTCCGCTTGCGACATTACCTTTTGCACTGCTTTTCGTAGAATCTCCTTGTACTCCTCTTTGGTGATCTCTTTTGTCTGGTAAAAGGGCTTTAAGGCTAACTTTGCTTCTTCAACAGCCCTCTCCTGTATATGTAGTTTTTTTATGTACTGGAATAAAACAGGAGACATTTTAGTGAACATTTTCTTTTCACAAAGTGTTCACAGTTGGGCCTCTAACAGAGAACGACAGCTTCCCTCTCCCATCTACACCGTGGAGTCCTGTAGCGCAGTGGTTAGAGCACTCGCTTTGCAAGCGAGAGACCTGAGTTCAATTCCAGGCAGAGGGCGAAACCTTGGGCAAGTTTCCTTACTCCACACAGAGCCTAATAATAATCCCTCCAAAACAAAACAATAATAAATTGGTCATTTTCAATCTACGACTGTTCGTGGGACATTGCTGTGCGCAATTGGCTGCCGCGTTCGCCCACACATATACAGTCAATTCACTTTACAGTATGTTCTGTGAAGCGCTTTGGGACGTCCTCCCGACGTAAAAAACACTATATCAAATGCAAGGATTATTATTATTATTACCTATGTTGAGATTTGAAGGGCCTCCAAAAAAAAGCGGTGTGTTAAACCTCCTCAGAAAAATAGAGAGAAAATGATGAGGGAGGGACGTACCAAAACACATCAGCCTATATCTCATTCAGATGGAGATTAACAAGCGGTAGCCCTCTCTCTCTTTTTTAAATAAGAGATTAATCTATGTTAGTCTCTCGCTTTCAGAGTTCCAGCATTTAGCTTTTCCATTACAATGTTGGTGTAAACATATCATTTGTTTTCAGATACCAATGCCAACCCCTGCCAGTGCAATGATGGACACGAAGAGACATCAAGACTCGCTCGGTAACGGACGGAAAACAAAGAATAACTGCTATTGCATTGGACGATTACTTACATTGTCGTTTTGACTTTTGTCGTCAGATGGTTTGGGCTCTTGCATTTTGCTGTCCAGATTTCCCACAATATTCATGTGTGCGCCAGCAGCAGCTGAAGCCGCAGCAGCTTGGTTCGTGGGCTGTAATGGCATTAATGGCTGCACGGGTGTGCAGCCTATCAGAGGAATACTTCCTTGCATGAACTGGACAGTTTGCTGACCGGCAGGCGTGTAGGGGATCGGGAAAGGAGGCATGAGCGGCATCGGCGGGGGTGGCATAAAAGGTCTGGCAAGACCGACTTGGTTAAATGCCTGCAATCAGTAAAAAAAAACTAGGTTAAAAAAAAGCACACATCAATCAATTCTGTACCAGCAGCACTGAAATAAAAGTAATAAGTATCCTTGCATTCCAATACAGCGCCTTATCAAGTCTTCGAGATGTCTCAAAGCGCTTCATAGAATATATGGTAAAGTGAATTGACTGTATATTTGTGGGCGAAACGCGCCAGCCGATAGCTCACAGCAGCGTCCCACAAACAGTCGTGGAGTGAGTGACCAAACTATAAACTAGTCAGCATGATTAACCATATTCCTTCTGATGGGTCACAGCAACAGGTCTACATAGATTAAAATGTATAAAACTGTACTTCAACCAATGCTTATTTTCATACAGTGTTAAACTGTCTATAAAAGTACACAGCAAGCAGCTTTCTTTGACAAGATGAAAGTCTGACATCTTGTGTCATCAAAAGTTAAAGCTTATGCAGTGCAAGATATATTTTTACAAACCACAGGACTGAAAGTGGAATTTAAACCAAAAATATCCCTCACTATATTATTGGCATTTTATGGGCATAATATATCTATTGAGCATACTATATTAATTATAGCCCATTTAAAAAGCTGAAGGATGTTTCATACAAACCAGGTCAATTTAACTGAAATTAAATTTTAAACATCAAGTATATTGGATGCAATATGAATAGAATAAAAGAAATACAATGTTTTACAGAACTTACTGCTATCAACAGTAAGTGTAAGAGCAAAGCAATGCTTAGAAGTGTAGGAAAGTATATAGGGGAAAACAATCCTATTGATAAATGTAATAGCTATCCCATATTAAGTGCTCTGGGACTCTACCCCGCGTGAAGGGCACTATATAAATGCAAGTTGTTGTTGTTGATGAGGATCCTGGGGCTGGATATTTCAATGTGCCTGTTGACACTACACTTTGCTTTGGTTTGTCAGCTTAGGTAATTCCCAGCTCTTCCCAAAAGCAACAAAGCTCTTCCACGATGCACATGGCTCTTCTCTGTGATATAACAAAGAAGCAGGCACTAAGTTGGGCTGAAACCTTGTTCTCCTCTTTTGGACTCCATTAAGACACAGTTTCCAGCACGGTAATTTGTTAAGAATTATTTTGTGAATTTTGTGCCGTTCAGGGAGATAGGGTCAGGGACATGAACATGGACATTTGTGCCCATGGGCATTCAATTTTGGCCTCTCAAACACACGATAGAGGCAAACAGGGAGCTCTGTCCAATGTGCTCGAGCCACGTTGACCTCAATTCCAGAAGAGCCCCACTAGGAATGTTTCCATTCACTGTGCATTATCTAATCCAGTATACCAATTTCATCTCAATTTGTGATGGGCTCTGGAACTGAGTTAAGATCACTTCAAACTCACATTGTTTAAGGCTCTTGCAGCTGGCAGTAAGGGAAAACAAAATATTTTCAAGTTACTGAGGTTTTACATTACTTCCTGCATGCCTATAACTGGGGAACTTGGGACAGCTCTCTCCACAACCCTGATTGCATATTTTTATAAAGTAACCAAGGATTTCAGAAGTCAGCCTGTCCAGTTCTTACGCAGTCCCTAATGGCCAGCTCAAGAACACCTGATAACCATTCTCTATAACAGAGCATAGAACTGGGGGATGGATCTCAGCACAAGATAAAACTATGCAGAAGAGATGAGGGCAAGAAGTGAGGTGTTCAGACAAATAAGAATTCTCTGAAACCTTCTGAATATTTAATCTAGTCTTTCATCTATACCTCCATCAATTCATTCTCAATTGCATAATACTAAACACAAATCGTGTTGTTGGCTTGGTAAGATTTTATACAACTTGTGAATATGACAGATGACACACTTTGTTGCTTACAAACTGTTCAGTCAGTTCAACTTGTATACAAAATAGCATCCAGCAGGAATCCTACAATGGAGCCTCCTCTATTGTAGGCTTTTAGCAATAACCTAATCCAACCATTTGAGTGTTCACTAATGACAATAAAAAGTATGCAAGATTTAAAGGAGGTTGTCAAAAGACTAGAATAAAGACTCCAATAATGGCACATGTAAGGTAAGCAAAGCTGCACATTTTCTACTCATATGCAGCAGTTTTTTGCTGCAATTTGGCATCACAAGGCATTTGGCTATGAGAGCCCAAACTACAGGGAAATCATTAACCACAATGACTAACAGAGAAGCTGAGTTCTCCTCAGACGCCTTTTACAAGTGAGCACTAACCTGTGGTGCAAATAGACCAGGAAACATAGGTGGAGGGATTGAGTAATTAGTTACTGGAGGCAGGGAGTGAGGCAGGGAGTGAGGCAGAGAGTGAGGCAGAGAGTGAGGCAGAAGCTGAGGCTGGGGCAGAGGCAACGTCACTGGGTTTAACGGCTGGCTTGAATCCGGAGTTTTCCAGGCACCTTCTTTATTCAATCGGTGCGTCCTGTAGGAAAACGGGGTCCCTTTAAACAAAAAACAAAACCCGTTTAAACAAAGACCATAAAACCTGACTGACCGTCTTTCAAGATAAAAATCATTTGAAAATGATTGCCTGCTATAACTGTGAATGGGGTAAAGGATGTATAGAGACATAAAGTGAAATAATCTTGCTGTGTTGTGTGGCTTGTTCACACCATCCACCAAGCAGGAGGGCTTATGTTAAGGGAAGGGAGCCAGACTGCTTCCCAAACATGTATTCCTCCACAATTCAGCAAGGAAATTGTTGTTTATTGCTATTTAAAGAGAAAACAGAAATGTCGATGAGCCTCCAGTAGACAGAAGCACTGAGTGTCTCATCAGTTCCAACATCTGAACAAGCAGATTAGGTTGCAGTGACCTTGTAAAGGGTCTGGTAAAATAAACTGCATAAATCATTTCTAACCCAAGAGCTAGACAGTGGAAACAGTACTTAGATATCTTAAAATGGTAGCTGTCTGTTCTACACAAGTATGACAGGCCATAATAAAGAATAAAAAATACAAATAATCCTTGCATTTGATATAGCTCCTTATCAAGTTGAAACTTCATAAATGTTTATTGTGAAGTATAGTGACTATATTTGTAGGTGAACACAGCAGCCAAGTTTCTCACAGCAACGTCCCACAATCTGGGAGGGGAGGGGTGGTGGGTGGTTGGCCAGTAAAACTCACACTTACGGGTAAGCCTTCCCGATGTAGCCTCATCCTTATCCTCGGTCTGCAGGTTCCACGTCACCCTCTTGACGAGAGGCTTGGATTTTGTCCCGGTGCCCTGCGTACCTGCCTCATTCTCACTCTTCCCTTTCACAGGTTGTGTCGAGCTCTGTGCGAGCGTTTGCTCAGATTCCCCGCTGCTCTCGGGCTTTGTCGTTTCTGCTCTTTCCTCCGATGGTTCAGTACTAGTAACGACAGGCAGTGGCTTTTCCACTTCTACAGTGATGTTTGATCTCAGTTTATCTCCCACAGTCTGTTTGTCGTCTGCTTGAATGCCTTGGGAACAGGATGTACTTGCTGCACAAATTTCTGTGTCCTCATCCTTAAACAAGGTCACCACTGTGCTATTTGCAACGGGACTTATGTTTGCCAATTCCTCAGCTGGACTTGTATCTACAGATTCATTATGATCCCCTTGACTTAAAGTTGCCAATTGTTCTGGTTCATTGGACTTCTCACGCATGGTCGAAAGTGGTTCTGACTTTGTTGGATAACTTTCATGAGCCTCTTCATCCTCTGGCTTTACTATTGGACTTTCCTCACCTTCTGTTGGGGCTGAAATTTCCTCTTCTTTTCCAAGGCATATAAGAGGAATGGAAATATTATCTCCTACAGTGTCATCTTTGTTACAAGGACTAGCAGTTTGGAAGTTCTCAGACACGATACCGGCTTGGAAGTTCTCAGACACGATACCGGCTTGGAAGTTTTCAGACACGATACTGGCTTGGAAGTTCTCAGACACAATACCGGCTTGGAAGTTCTCAGACACAATACCGGCTTGGAAGTTCTCAGACACAATATCGGCTTGGAAGTTCTCAGACACAATATCGGCTTGGAAGTTCTCAGACACAATATCGGCTTGGAAATTCTCAGACACAATATCAGTTTGGAAGTTCTCAGACACAATATCGGTTTGGAAGTTCTCAGACACAATATCGGTTTGGAAATTCTCAGACACAATATCGGTTTGGAAGTTCTCAGACACAATATCGGTTTGTAAATTCTCAGACACAATATCGGTTTGGAAGTTCTCAGACACAATATCGGTTTGTAAATTCTCAGACACAATACCGGCTTGGAAATTCTCAGACACAATACCGGCTTGGAAATTCTCAGACACAATACCGGCTTGGAAATTCTCAGACACAATACCGGCTTGGAAATTCTCAGACACAATACCGGCTTGGAAATTCTCAGACACAATACCGGCTTGGAAATTCTCAGACACAATACCGGCTTGGAAATTCTCAGACACAATACCGGCTTGGAAATTCTCAGACACAACATTGGCTTGGAAATTCTCAGTACATTTTATCTCTATATTGTTCGTGTGCAAACCTACTGTACATGTGCTTATAGGATCAACTTCAGCGAAAAGATCAGTAGTACTATCTTTAAAGTCTTCACTCTTGCAAATGGAAATTTGGTTTTGTTCAACAAATTCTATAGGTTTGACTTCATCCTGCATTGCTCCAATTACTGGTTCCTGTTCCTCTTTCACGGCTATGGGATGGGCAGAACTATGAACATCAATTCCTGGAAGAATTGGCACACTGGAAAGAATAGGCTTCTTCAACGAGGCATTGCCCTCAGTGGTCAAGTTAGTTCTAGAAGGTGAAAATATCCTTTGCTTTCTTTCCTTCTCAATGAAGAAGTCTTTCTCTAGAGGAACATTAGGTTTCCTTTGCAGTTCTGGGAACTGCAATTTTGATTGCAACCACCTTTCTCTAGATCTGGATCTACTTTGATCCTTGGATCCTGAACGAGTTCTTGATATAGATCTCGGTTTCCTTCGTTCTCTGGATCTAGATCGGGACCATGATCTCCTCTTTTCTTTGGATCTAGAACCTGGTTGCAATCGGCTCCTCTCTCTAAATCTAGACCAATGTCTCCTCTTTTCTCTGGAGCTAGATCTCGATCGCGATCTCCTCTTTTCTCTGGAGCTCGATCTAGAACGAGATCGTCTCTTTTCTCTAGAACTAGACCGTCTCTTTTCTCTCGATCTAGACCATGGCCTTTTCTTTTCTCTGGATTTAGACCACGATCGTAAGCGTTTTCTTTCCCTTGACCATGAACTTGAATGTCTAGCTCGCCTTTCATGTTCTTCATGATTTGGCTCTCTTTCGTACTTCCTTCGGTTTCCATGGTCAACGCTGCTGGACCGAGACCGTCTGTAAGAACTTCTGCAATCCCTTGAGCTCTTCCTTCTCCTCTTGCGGCTGCCTGTGGACACGTCAGAAGAACTACTCAACCATCTCTCTCTGGACCCTGATCTGGAATGTCGTGACCTCTTGTCCCTGCTCCTTTGCTTTTTATCCTTTTTTATCCTGCGTTTCTCTAAGCTACTCGATCGAGACCGTGACCTAGATTTTGACCTCCGTCGTTCTCTGGAGTGCGATCTCAATTTTCTTTCTTCTTTCAACCGTGACCATGATCTGCTTGCTTTACGATCTTCCGATAAGGAGTCATTCCTTTCCTTCTTATGTTTCTTGCGACTGTGGGAACCTGATCTGGATCTTGATCTCGACCGAGATTTTGAGTCTATGTGGTGTTTTTTATTCATCACCTTTCCTTTCAGGTTATTTTCTAACGAGATGTCTGTATCCACGCTTAGAGCAGCAGGAACGTTTTTGTTAAGTTGCAAAGAACCCTCACCAGAACATGGACAATCACCATCGCTGTCTGTCTTTACAGCCTGCTGTTGAGACTGAGCATTGTGCACAGCAGATGTTGAAGAGCTGCAAAGTGACTTGTGAGTGTGTGTCCTTTCCCATCTTTCAGCATCAGAGTCTCCACGCAATTTCACATCTTTCTCTGCATCATCATCATTAAACACTTGTACAATACCGCTGTCAGATTCAGCTTTAGGCTCTTCAACAGTTAACAATTGAGGCTGACCGAAAGACTTACACTTGTCACCATTCAGAACAGGTATTGCTCTCGCCCAAGATTCTGTGTCGCTTTTACAGGGTTCAATTTCCTGGTTAGAAGTAGCACTAGTATTAAAGTGGATATTGAATGCAGTATTATTCGCTGTGTCTTGATCTTCGGAAGAAATAGACAATGGGGACGGACACTCTGTTCTGAACTCATTCCTATCAGGACTAGAATTTGAAGAACTTGAACCAGACCCAGTGGGATCAAACGGATCATATTTATCATCAGCATTTTCTTCTTTTACATCGGGCTGTGACAATGAAGCTGTTTCCTGGTCGTTTTTGTTATACCGCTGAACTTCATCATCTGTAGGTTCAAATGGATCGTACACATCAGACTGAGCCAACCTACTTGAATGATCAGTGTCAGTGGTCACAGTTTTAAAACTATGACAAGAAATGGAGTCCAGCCCTCTGCTTTTGAGATGTTCTTGAGATGTACCTGGGAAATTACGAGGACGACCAGCTACATCTGTAATGGAAGAAGCTCCTTGCAGAGGAGATTCAATATTATTTCTCCTGTTGTTTCCTAATCTATCAGGTGTTGAAGACTGTCCACTGTTATCATTACCAGCAAGTTTGCTTGTTGAGGCATGAGGCATTCCATTACTTTTGTTGCTCAGTTGGAAACTGGAAGAACTGGTTTGGTTTTTTATCTTTGGTATCCGAGGAAATTCTGAAATATCAAGCCTAGGAAACGGTTTCGGTGGAATTCGGTTTAGTGTTCCCATGCTGGTTCTTAAATGCAAACTGGAAGCGTTATTTAACCACTTGAAGGGTGTGAACCCACTAAATGTTTTGCCACATTCCCCTGTTCGTTCCGCGTTTGGCAAATTCCCAGATTCGTTTATCCTTGGATTGGCTGATACTTCAGGCATGGGAGTAAATTTTCCAGATAACAAAGGTCTTATATTTGTTGACGTTGTCTGTAGTGCTGGTTTAGATGATAAACCAGATGTTGATGGAAAAGTAAGTGAATTACGTTCCGTGCGTTTTGAAGTACTCGTAAGGCCAGTAGTTTTTATTTCCTCTTTTGAAGTACAAGTAGAGTTCCCTGAGATACAAGTACTTGCAACCGAGCTTCCAGAAGAGTTCTCGCTACCTCTGTCACTTGATGCCTTCTCCGGACGATGCCCTAATTCAACAGATGAAAGGATCGAAAAAATAAAACACATTACACCACAGTTTATAAGCAAAGTGCACCTTCAATTTTGATAATTCTTTCAGAAAATAGAACATATACCAAACAAGATTTGATAGGAATATATTGCAATTCACACAAAGCCATGTTTCCTCACATATTAAAAAGGGGACAGAGGAGAAGGCAACCAGTGAAATGAACTTATGTATGTTGGATAAAGGAGCCATTGTTCATTTATTAGCACTTGCTAAGCTTTAGCTCAGGAAGATGTTAAACTGTTTATAGAGCAAACTGTAGGATAATGAAATGAAGGTGACAAAAATACTTCTTTTAGGAATAAAAGGGCGGGTTTACGGATGCTTTTTACTAGCGCATTATAAAGATTACCTCTTTCTTTCGGCTTTAAAGATCCATCCCGATTGATCACAACGTGAGCACTGTCCATCATCAAGATGTTCTGCCCTGCCAGGATACATCCCAACACATCTGGGACAGATGTGGTTTCTGGTTCCGTCTCCCGAGCAACAGTTGGAAGTATTCCATTCCTGGCACAGAAGAAAAAATAATCTGTTTTAAACAAGTACTATGCCAGGATCAGGACAGCAGCGAATCCATTTGCCAATGTGATTCACTGTTCACAACTAATTCTTTCAACAAAAGCCACTGAAGCATTCTCCCCATTAGAGCTATACAGGCTCTTTGCAAAATTGACTTGCAAGTCTTAACTGTGTCAGATTTACAGATGACATAACACTAGGACGCATCAATTTATTTTTATGTCAAAGTAGTACAGTAGGTAATATTGTAGGTAATCCCAGTTTCTCCCAAAAATACAGACAATCCACTTTACAGTGCATTCTGTGAAGCACTTTTAGATGTCTCATTGACGTGATAAGGGGCTGAATCAAATGCAGAGAATATTATTATTAAGAATGATGATACTCTAAATTAGCAAAATTGCCTTTATAGATTTATACAAAATCATCTATATCATTTCTTGGAAATGCTAAAGAAACACTGAACACCATCTATACAAAGGGCTCATTGGAGAGCTATGTTGTTATGCTAACAATACAATTTTTCCAACCTTGACATTGCAACTGCAATGGGTCTGGCCACTGGCCGATGAGAGCGCAGAGCTGATCGGGAAAGGACTCTTCTTTTGCTGCCAAAGGGTGAGCCCAGATTTGCAGCTTCCCCATAGGATGCCTCTGTAGAACTAAACATAATTTGTCAGCTGTTTAATTTTCTCATCAATCCAACCACAAATAACTTCACATTTAAATATTTCAACATTCTTGCAAATGCTAACGAAACACTGAACACCATAGAAACTTCTTCAGAAATGAAAGGCATATTATCTGGAGTGAATTTTCCCCAATTATCAAGGTGAAGAATACCATGATAGGACCTGGAACAGTTCCCCCTTTTACACCCATTGTTATCATCAGAATGCAAAGGACAGGTGTATAGCAGGTTTATGTTCTGTCCACATTGCCATTAATAGACCAGCACCCCTAAAGCACTATGTCTATTTCCCATACCAGCCATCTCTGTGACAGTTCAGACCGATGAGTACTACACTGTGTAGTTTTGGCATACTCGAATCACTCCTTTAAACTGAATGGAGATCATTCAATCTCCTTTCATCTCCTCAAAATGAGGAGTGTTATATTAACAGAGTGAAGTAGATCTGATCCCAGGTTCAACAGGTGAAAGGAATGTGCTAACCCACCTCATCACCCAGTTTTCCATAAATACTGTCTTGTAACTGTATTACACCAGTGGCCGCTTACCTTTCAAAAGGATCCAGACCATTTGGATCTCCATATACTGACAATGAAGCTGCTCCAATATCTGTTCTCATTAAATTCAAGGACGGCTCCACTGGTTTGTACACGGAAGGAACTGCAATTCCATTAACCGGTTTACCAAGTCCGAGGTTCTTTGCGATACGTGAACGAGCTGTGACGCTCAACTTAATCTATTTAACAAATACAACAACAAGAAAGTCCATAAGATATTCGATTAGAATTTCAGAACCGAAGAAAATTAAAACAACAACTCTTTGTTTACCGCTTTCTTCTTTCCTTTCTTTCGCTTGAATCTTCTTCTGCGTTTTCTTGTCGTCTTTCCACCAAGCTTTGTTCCAGTTGCTAGATTGGATTTGCCACGGGGTTTCTTCTTCCCAACTTTTCTCCTTCTTCTGCCTGGAAAGACACAATAACACCGCCAGTTAACGCGATAGTCACCATTCAACATTCGGCCATCAAAATGTAGAGCAGGACAGGCTCGACAACCTGGCCTTGAAGTGTGAGAGCCCCATCTGGTTTTGCCAGGAACTAATGTCATCAATTCCGAAAGAGTGAAAGGCTGAGTGAGAAGTGTTGAAAGTTTAACAGTGTAATAGCTGTATTTTAATTTACTGAATGTGATCGAATGCAATAAAGTGGAACTCCTGGCAGGAAAGGTTTTAACAATAAGCCTGTTCCACAGCCGGGAGGTATATACACTTCAAACTCCTCCCATACAGGAGAAACAATTACCTGTTTTTGTTTTACGCCTTTTCGTGCTCTGAGCTCGTGGGTTAAGGGGCCGTTGGTATACTGCTGTGTTTAGGCCAGCAACAACTGCCTCGATAGTTTCATCCAGCAGGCTGACATTCATCAGGTACTGTGGTACGTGCTGTAAAAGGAAATCAGATCTGGTCACAAAACAATTACTAAAGCAAATTAACAGTTTTAGTTCTCTCAGGTTGCTTATAGCTTGGAATATTTATGCCTGTTTAATGCCATAGCCCACTTTGACGCACACTGCATCAAAGCACAAGTACTGTTTTTAATCTAAAATCAAGATTAGTGTTGATAGAATTACAGTATGAATCCTCGCATTCAATTAACTATAGACTTAACTGTAATCCACTTAACTTAAAAGTCCAACTATTGTGAAAGTACAAACAGTCATTGGCAAGAAGATCCTTCCAATGCAAGGGTTGGGCATATCCCTTAAACTGCAGAAGAAGGCCCCAGTCTTTGCAGAGAACAGGTTCCATATATTTTCAGATGACGCACTGTAAGATGATTACACCAAGGTGGCCAAACCTGTTCGCTGCTGGGGGCCAGATGCCCTATTTGAGAAACATCCTCAGGCCACAGCAGCAATATTTTTGTGTTTCCCTTCCAGAAACATAACATTTACAGGTTATGGAGGGAGGGGGCAAGCCGGGTGAAATGAGGTTGGGGGGTGCGTATTGGACCACCTTGCCTTACACAATTTCTACATTAATACCTGCAATTTCTGTGCAGCATTTAACGTACCCGGATTTGATGTGCACGGGTAATCCGATTTCTATTTACGTTTGCTCGAACACGCTCGCTTTGACGAGTCCTTGCGATAGCGCGGGTTCTTCTTACAGTTGGGCGTAACCTGGAAGTAGTGGGCTCTTGTGGTGCGTCAGCAAAAAGAAAGGCAACCTCATCGTCATCAATCTCATCAACCACTGAAAAACAGAAGGAGAATGAAATCAGGCATTACTTAGGAGGTTTACAAGCCCTTCGTGGTCTTGCACACCCCCTACATCTCCAACCTCCTAACTCCATAGCAGCCTTTCTGCTCCAACCGCTCGGTGGACACTGGTCTGCTTCAGGTCCCCCGCACTTCCCTCCCCACCATTCGCGGTCGGGCATTCAGCATCACTGTCCTCACTCTGGAACTCTATCCCGCAATCCCTTCGCCTCACCCCCTCACTTGCCTCTTTCAAGTGCTGTCTAAAGACATTCCTCTTCGACCGTGCCTTCGGCCACTCTGCACCCCTTGCCCTCTACCGCTCCTGACCCCAACTCGGGTCCAAAAAACCCTGACTGTCCAGTGCCCTGGGACGCCTTTCCAACGTGAAGAGTGCTATACAAGTGTAATTTGTTGTTATTTATTAAAGAGAGGCTTCCCTCTCCCACGCCACCCTTTCCTGTGAGGAAGTTCATCTGGCAACTATATGACTTTGCTCCTCCTGCCAATCTACTGGAAATGTCACTTGATCAGGGTGAGGAAAGACTCTTTATTCATTACTCAAGCTTCACCCTCCAGGGTAGGTCCAAGACAAAAGCTTAGCTGAAATTGATACTCACGTTCAGAATCCATTTACTCTCTAGCTAGCAAGCATCCTCACACACTATAAGCGAGTTTGGATAAAGGCAAACCTAAAACTATACCTCACTCTATGGGACAATTTGCTGGAAACAATCAATAATACTCTAACCTTTAACAAGCTGTTGATTACTGCACTGTTCCTGCACATTCAGGTTGTATACATACATTAAGAAACAAATGCAACACGTGAAGGGGGCATTTTTCAAATACAATTGTAAAGCTATTTTTACTCACCATCTGTAGGATTATTAATAGCACATTCAGGACAAAACCATTCTTCCACTGGAACAGTATGAAGGGGAGGGTCAAGGCATTCCATGTGGTATCTTAAAACAGTGATAGCTTGAATTAGCAAAACATTCCCTGTTAAATAAACACTTCAAGATCCACACTGTCTTCAAATCCCTTCATGCCCTTTCACCTCCCTACCTCTCCGACCGGCTTACTCTCCAAGGCATCGCCCACTGCCTCCGCTCAACTGCCTCCGGCCTCCTGCTTGTTCCTGGTGTTCACCATTCCACCATCAGTGGCCAAGCTTTCAGCCACTACGCCCTGAAACTCTGGAACACTCTTCATCTATCCCTCTACCTTGCCCACTCCTTCCCCATCTTCAGGTCGTGCCTGAAGAGCTTTCTCTTCGACCATCTTTACATTAGTTTCAGGCCTAACATTATTTCGAGCTTGTTACTTACCCGGCATCGCAACCATCACAGAGGAGCAGGCGATCTTCCCGGTCACTTCGGCCACACACCTCACAGTTTGTCACGTCCTCCTCCCCCTCCTCATTTCCTTTATCAGGGTTCTGGACTGGAATCTTCAAAAGAAACCTTTTTTTTAAAAAACCTCATTATAAAAAAAAGAGGTTTAAAAGTTAAACATCTGCTAACCTAAAGTCCTCTCCTGGGGGATCCAAGGGTAAACGTTACCCTTGATATGATGCAACATTGAGCCACACAGAGTGGGAAGCTTCCATGTTCTAACCTTGGTCTCTGCTGAAAGGACAGTACAAGTGACCCAGCTTTCCCAGCTTACGTAATGATTACTAACCAGCAACACAAACTGAAGTCATGTCTGAATATTGTGTGCAGGATGTGTTGGGCTCAATAGTCGTGGCTTTAACAATCAAACAGTCTACCAACTGTCAGTATCCAGTTTCACACATAAAGAATGGCATCTTGAGCAACGCATTAGAAGCATTGAATCATTGCCTTCATTTTGGAGGGATGAAGACGGGAGGGGGGAGAGAGATGAAGAGATACTGTTTTTTAATGCAGCCACTTAACAATTCGATTTAATTCCTCCTTACCTTTTTTAAGATTTTTCCTCCAAAGTGAGTACGAACACAGATATGATTGAAGATTATTCGATCCACTGGACAGGAATTTGCATTCTGTTTAAAAGGAATTATATTTTAAATTCTTTATTCCTTACCAAGTTGCATATTATACAAACTGCCGTGAATTTCACAAGTCTCCCACCCCCCAACCATCTTTTTGTTCTGGGACGCTACCCTGTGTGAGGGGTGCTGTATAAATGCAAGTTGTTGTTCTACAGCACAAGATGATATCAAGGAAAGGAACTCGGGTAAGTGGCATTGTGATATTTGTTAAGTTGCAGACAGATAAACATTGCTGTGGGTAAGGGACAATCTCTGGTTCAGAGAAAACAGGGCACTTCTCTTTAGTGAGTGCTACCTGAGATTGCAAAGGGGCACTCCTAACTGTTCAGCAGTGCCACACAGCAATTCATAATTCAAAATGTAGTTACTTTTACCGTTATTTTTACCTTTTACCAACACAATGTAAATTTTGTTCTTATTAATAAAACTTGGGACATCTCTGCACTCGATATTTATAATAATAATCCTTGCATTTGATATAACACCTTATCATGTCTTCAAAACGTCTCAAAGCACTTCACAGAATACAACAACAACAACAAAATGACATTTGTAGAGCGCCTTTCACGTTGGGAGGATGTCCCAAAGCGCTGAACAGTCAGGTGTCAGGGCCCGAGCATGGGGAGGGGTGCTGTAGGGGTGAGGGAAGGCAGAGAGGTGGGAGGGAGACCAGAAGGGTCTTGAGACCGGCCTTGAAGGATGCGAGGGAGAAAGCGAGGCGAAGGGACTGTGGGATGGAGTTCCAGAGTGTGGGGGCAGAGAGGCTAAAAGCCCGGCCACCGATGGTAGGGTGGGTCGGGCGGGAGACATGGAGCAGGCCGGAGCCTGATGAACGGAGGGAACGGGCAGGTTGGTAGGGAGTCAGCAGGTTAGCGAGGTTAGTGGGGGCAAGGGCATGGATGGCCTTAAAGGTGAGGATGAGGATCTTGAACTCGACCCTCTGGGGGATGGGGGCCAGTGGAGTCGGGCGAGGGTAGGAGTGATAGGGTCGCGGAGCCTGGTGAGTGAGAGTACACGGCTGCAGAGTTTTGGATGATCTGCAGCTTGTGAAGGGAAGAGTTCGGAACAATATACTGTAAAGTGAATTGTGTGGGCAAAATGAGGCAGCCAATTGAGCACAGCAGAGTCCCACAAACAGTTGTGGAGTGAGTGACCGTTTTTTTACTGCTAGGTACACAGAAGCGTGTGAAGTAAGGAAACTTGTCCAACATTTTGCTTTGCTGGGAATCGAACCCAGTCTCTCGCTTGCAAGGCGAGTGCTCTAACCACTGAGCTACAGAACTCCACTTAACAGTTTAACTAGAATGCCAGCTTCACAGAGTACTGGGGGAGAGACTCACCTTTGCCCATTCAAGAATGCAGTCAAGGCAGAAGTAATGTGCACAGCTTTCTGGAGTCCCAATTGCCTGGTCCCGGAAAGTATTCAGACAGATCGGGCAGTTCTCACTGTCTTCGTCAGAGCTAGCTCTTCCTTTCACTGCTGAACTGTCCTTTGATCTGTCCACTCCTCCAACCGCTCCTTCATCATCATCTTCCACCTCATTATCTGAGAGATAGAAGATTTTTTATTGCTCCAAATCACTGACATTCTGCATTTTTCAGCCTTACATTTGCATCACCTGTCAAGGATTTACGTTTCTACCCCTAATCATATTTCTATAATGCATACTGCATCATACAGAAACATGGCAAGATGTTAACAGGAAGAGGTCATTTGGTCCATCGTGCCTTTACAACTATTGCTTTCACTGAGTAATAATACACAACTTGCTGTCAGTGAACAATTCTTATCTGACGAGTTACATATGAATCAATTCTATAGTAACACAAACAAGGTATCAGATTAAATACTGTACCATCCTCGGCAACCTCGTCCTCATCCTCATCTTCTAAATCTTCCTCTTCCCCACCTTCATCGCCGTCATCTTCCTCATCACCATCGTCTTCTTCATCTCCGTCCTCTTCCTCATCACTTTCATCCGTGTCTCCCTCCTCCACATCATCGCCATCTTCACTACTGGATTCCTCTAACAACGATAGAAGGTTTCATTTCAGCAACAACAATCTAGAGCACCCTCTTCCCCCACCCACGTACCAGTCATTGCTTTTAAACTGATTTCATTACAGATTGCAAATCTAGATTGTAAAAACCAACCAGCTTTAACCTCAAGCAAAGAGAACATTACTCCACTGAAATGTCCCAATACTGGCCTAACTAACTCATCACAATACCTTATCAAGCTTACCCAGTAATCAAATATTACCTTCATCACTGAAAATGGATGAAATCTGACGTTTGCCTCTTCCTTTTACCAGGGCTGTGTTTTTGTTAATCAGTTCATCTTGACTGTCATCATCAGCCATAATGTAGATTCAGAAATATATACGGTCTATGAGAAATCACAAAAAGAGTTTGCATATATTGATACTTAGTGACAGCATGAGAAATAATAATAATAATAGCTGGATTTGATATAGCGCTTAACACATCGTTGAGATGTCTCAAAGAGCTTCACAGAATATACTGTAAAGTGATTGATTGTATATTTTGTGGGCAAAACGCGGTAGCCAATTGCACCCAGCAGCGTCCCATAAAAAGTGGTGGACTGAGCAACAGCCAGCTGGGTAGCTTGTCAGTTTGGCCAAGTAGTAGCATTCCTGCCTCTGAGTAGGAAGTTTGTTGGGAATTGAGCTCATAATCCAGGCTGACAATCCAGTGCTGTACTGGGTAGCGATGCAAAATCAGAGGTGTTGTCCTCCATGGCTTGACATTATAATAATAAACCTTGCATTTGATGTAGCTCCTTACCACATCTTCGAGACGAATCAAAGTGCTTCACAGAATATACTGTAAGGTGAATTGAGCCTACATTTTGTGGGCAAAATGCGGCAGCCAATTACGCACAACTGTGTCCCACAAACAGTCGTGGATTGAATGATAATTTTTTTTCAAGGAATCATTACTCACAGCAAAGCGATCGGCCAATTGACTAACAACTGAGTTCCTACTTACTGCTAGGTAAACAGAGGCATGTGGAGTAAGGAAACTCGCCTAACTTTTTGCCCTGCCAGGAATCAAACCCAAGTCTCTCCCTTGCAAGGTGAATGGTCTAACCACCTAGCTACAGGTGCTTTATCAAATAAAGGATGATAATTATTATCATCACATCCTGTGGTCACAGCAGTAATCGATTCAATCAATGTTCCTGTTCTAACTTAGCTGGAACCAGGGTCTCCCCTAACATTCTTTCACCACAAGGGATTTCCTGGGGTGAGGTGGGGGCAGAGTTAGTACTTTCTTGCACACTATTATTCAATGTAGATAAAGAAGCACGACCTAGCAATTCATGAAATGAAATATATTGTATAATCTCACGTGATGGCATTTGCTAACTTAGAAAAAATAGTTTCAACACAGGGCAGATTTGATCACTCAGTGGGTTTGGGTGCATTTTTAATGCAGAGCCATGTAAGAGACTGGGTGATGCACATTGAACATCAAGCTGAACAGGCAGACAAAGATCTACATCAAAAGATCACAATAATAATCATCCTTGCATTTGATATAGTGCCTTATCATGTCTTCTAGATGTCTCAAAGCGCTTCACATAACATACTGTAAGTGAATTGACTGTATATTTGTGGGCGAAACACAGCAGCCAATTGTGCACAGCAATGTCACACAAACAATTATGGATTGAGTGACCAAATTATATATTTTTTTGAAACAATTAATAATAATATTATCCCCAGAAAAGAGATCAGCCAATTGACTTGCAAGCCGGTTCCTACTTACTGCTAGGTAAACCGAGGCGTGTGGTGTAAGGACACTTGCACAATGTTTCACCCTGTCCGGGAATCAAGCCCGGGTCCTCTCGCTTGCGAGGCAAGTGCTTTAACCACTAAGATACAGGACTCTACAATGACCAACCTATCTGCCAGGCCTCAGTGTCAAATTTGCATGATGAGTGGATATATGGGTAAGATATCAGAGGGTCCCAGTAGTAGCTTACACAAGAGATAGNAAAAAAGAGTTGAATACCCTAAAGTAAGGAGCGGGGTAGGAGAAAGTTGGAGGGAAAATAACACTAGGGAGAAGTGTTTAAAAATCAATCTGAATAATTTTCAAATGCAAAATAAAATCACTGTGCTATATGATTGGAGTCCTGTAGCTCAGTGGTTAGAGCACTCGCTTTGCAAGTGAGAGACCTGAGTTCAATTCCAGGCAGAGGGCGAAACCTTGGGCAAGTTTCCTTACTCCACACAGAGCCTAATAATATCCCTCTAAAACCAAAAAACAATAATAAAAATTGGTCTTTTTCAATCTACGATTGTGGGACATTGCTGTGCGCAATTGGCTGCTGCGTTCGCCCACAAATATACAGTCAATTCACTTTACAGTGGGTTCTGTGAAGCGCTTTGGGATGTCCTCCCGACGTGAAAAGCGCTATATCAAATGCAAGGATTATTAGTAATATTATATTGTCATGATAGAGTTCTGTCCATTCCATCCATAGAGTACAGTAGTAGGATAAGGCCAACATCTAGAAATATCCACAAAGAAATTTCCAAACTCAGTCAGGTTTGCAACAGAGATGACAAGCAAAGAGTGAAAAATTAGAGGGTAAGAGACTACAACACTCTGAACGACCTTCCTGGTTTAAGAATGATGTGTGATTCAAACTAATTTAAAATAAGAGACAAGAAAATATCAGATTTACAAATCAATGCAATCAAAGTTCAGAATGTTTTTTTGCTCTTTGAAGTAAATCAATTTCTTCCTTCTCCTCCCTAACTCTACGCCACCCCCCCTGCCCCAGTAAATTTGACCTAGAAAATACACAATCACAATGCAGTGGAAGCGCTTTAAGACATCCTTCTGACATGAAATGTAACGATTATTTTAATTTTTATAATGATCGAAAAACAAACAAAACCACTGTTTACATACTATAATTCCCACCAGATTTCTCACCCAATATGACAAGAAAACAATGTTACTGTTGCTCTGTGCTGTTTACAAGCAGAATGTATCAGGGTCTCCAAAAATGCAATGTTTCACCAAAATGCATTCAATTATTCATTCAAGATCAGGTTAAAAGGGTATTTTTTTCCTGCGTCTTTTCAACATTACATCCATCAATATATATATATATACACACACACACACAAACATTTACTCATAACTTCTAATGTATGCAGTTTAAGATATGTGTGAAAGTGTTGGAGATAAAAAGGAATGGCAGGAAGAGGGAATGGGATTTTTAACAAACTGGTAAAAACAAGATAGCTGCTCAGCCCGATCTACTGCATTTGATTGAATCATTAGGTTCTGACACAGAAAACATAACTCTAGGGGATAAGAGTCTGTCATAATCAGGATTAATAACCACGTTGGAAACAATGTTATTAATAACCTCAGTTAGTATTTTTATGGTGAATCATTTTCAACCTGAAAAGCACCTGGAGGACTCACAGCAGAATTTCCTTATTCCCATTACTATTATTATCATTTATATTTTTAAAGTACAACCAGACTGACTGGTCTCAAACAGTGAATGTCAGCGGCAACTCTTGCCTCTGAATTGGAAGGTTGTGGTTTCAAGCTACAAGTCAGTACTTAATCACATAGTCTAAGATGACATTCAGTGTTGTTATATATCGAGTACAAAAAGAGCGCTTTAGTGAAATTCAGATGAGATGCTAAACCAAGGACTGCTCAGGTGGGCGGTAAAGACAACAACAACAACAAAATTACATTTGTTTAACGCCTTTCACTTTGGGAGGATGTCCCAAGGCACTGGACAATAAATGTTTCTACCCATACATGGGATTGGGATCAGGGAGGGTGGAGGGCTTGAGGGGGGGGGGGGAAGTGGGAGAGGGTGATCGAAGGCAAGGTCGAAGAGGAGGGTCTTCAGACAGGTCTTGAAGGAGGCAAGGGAGGGGGCGAGGTGGAGGGACTGCGGGATGGAGTTCCATATGGTGGGGGCAGAGTGGCTGAAGCCCTGCCTTGCAGGCCAGAGGCCACTGAGCAGAGGAAGCGGGCAGGTTGTTAGGAGGTCGCAGAGATAAAGGGAGCAAGACCATGGAGGGGTTTGAAGGTGAGGACCAGGATCTTGAACTGTATCCTCTGTGTGATGGGAAGCCGGTGGAGTCACGCAAGGATTGGGGATGATAGGGTCATGGACCATGGTGCGGGGGAGGACACGGGCTGCAGAGTTTTGGATGATCTCCTATAGAGAGGAGTTGGGGAGGCTGACAAGCAGAGAGTTTGCATAATCAGAGCCTGGATGTTATGAATGCGTGTTTGAGAGTCTCGGCGGCCTGCGGTGTGAGACAGTGGCGGAGCCGGAGGTGGGGGAAGGTAGAGTGAGTCATGGCATGGACGTAGGGTAGAAAGGATAGTTGAGGGTCAAACAAGACCCCAAGGTTCCGGACTGGCTCAGTGAGGTGGAGTGGGCATACTTGGATGGTGATGCTGTCAACACCACAACTACCACTGCAATGAACAAAGAGAGTTTCTCTCTATATTCTGGCCAACTGTCCTCCAAATAAAGTGGTCATTAACCTCATGTCTGTGGGATCTTGGCGAGTGCAAAACGACCGCCATCTTTTCCTACAATAACGGTCACTATGCAGGAATTACTATAAAACATCAGACATTATAAAATACAACAACATTCAATGAAAATTATTTTTTGTCTGCTATTTCCCATCATAAAATGGTGAGTGTATTCTATTGTACAGATAGGGATAGCTCCAATATCTACCGTATCTACCTGGTTCCCACAACAATGGAAAATACTGTTCCACAGTACAAAAAGGCAAACTTATCCCAAGCGGACACAACCAAATCTCCAGCATAATTGGTTCCTTCCTCAATTATTGCACACAAGGTTATAGACTTACAATCTGGAACTGGCCCTTGTAGCCCAACACATTCTAACTTCTGCTGATCATTCCATACAGTTTTAGTGACCAACCTGTGTTGCAAAGACAAACACCCTGACCACACACACACACACACACACCAGCAAAGATCACTGCTAACTGTTCTATCCTCACATCTCATATCAAATTGTCAAACTGCGCTCAATCTCTCAATTTTAATGGACATTGCAAAATTTCAGAATAAATAGCGATATCAGTGCAAGGCTAGTAGGAAACACTCCACGGATAAGTTTGAAAGGCATGTACAGTATGAAGCCCCACGATGATAATAATGATCCTTGCATTTGATATAGCACCTTATCATGTCATCAATTTACTGCGTTCATGCACTGCATCCTGACTCCAAGGTTAACTAGGCACACGCGTGTGCGAGAGAGACACGCACACAGAACATGGTCCCGTGCTGTTGTCAAACACGTTTACAGTCCAGGTGCTGCCCTTTAACTTGCAGCCTCCAGAGTGAAGCAGCTGTGAGCGAGAGCGAGAGACCGTGCTAGGCCGCGACCTTAGCTTTACTTCAAGTGATACGAAAGCACCGTCTCCGCGCACACACACACACACGCGCGCACACAATTCATCAAACATATCACACGCCGGCGGCGGCCGCTTCGCTCTTAAACTCGTGGAAGCAGCTCGGTTTAAATTTTTTTTTAAAAAATTTGTTTTAAAAAAAAGTAAATAATAATTGTTACCCTCCTTCTCTCCTCTCCTCTCCTCTCCCTCCTTCCCTCCCTCCCTCCCTCTCTCCCCTCCTTATAAAACACCAATTCTTCTTCTTTTGTTATTGTTTGGGTTGTGGGGTTTTTGAGGTTATTGAGGACTATAAATTCTGGTGTGTGTGTGTGTGTGTGTGGAGTGGAGGGGGTGTGTGTGTGGGGGGGGCGTGTGTTTTGAGGGGGGGGGGCTATTTATGAACAAAAAAAGCCTCCACTACCCCCCCCCCCTCACCTCACCCCTCACCCACACCCCAACCCCCTCACCCCAACCCCCGCCGCCCTTTCTCCCTCCCACGTCGCACACGAAGCACAACGGAGCGAAAAGGCGGGGGGGGGGGGGGGGGGGAGAACATAATAATTTTCAGGACTAAATTCCATTCCTCCCCCGACACCCCCCCCCCCCCCCCGCACACACACACACACACACACATATATATATAGGCCTCGCCCGCTCTTAGGCCTCGGGCCCCATGGAAACAAACAGGGCCGAGGTCGGGCCTCACCCGCTCCTGGCACCCGCTAATTTTTTTCTCTCTCTCCTCCTCCTCCTCCTCTTCTTCTTCTTCTTCTTCACACGCCACCTACCATAGAGCGAGCGTTGCCAAGTTTATTCCTGGCCCCCTCGGGTACATCTGTCAAAGGGTTTTTTTTCCTCTCTCTCTCTCTCTCTCTCTCACCTCCCCCCCCCCCCTCACACACACACACACACACACAGTAAATACCACAGCGGCCCGGCTCTGCACCCAGACTCTGTGGAGGGGGGGGGTCACGGAAACAGCCGAGCGCTTCCGAAGATAGCCGAACGCCTCGCGTCACGGTCGTGTTCTTCGGCGAGCGGAGTGGGGATCCACGGCCACGGCCGAGCCTTTCCGGAGACACCCGAGCGCACTGCTCCGCCCCCGTCAGTGAGAGCGACCACGGATCCAGCCGAGCTCTGCCGAAGATACCCGAGTGGTCCAATTGCTAAGCTGAGGGGTTCTTGGCAAGTGATTTACAAAGATTTACAAGGAAAAAAAGGCCACTCAACCCAACCAGACCGTGCCGGTGTTCATATTCCACATGAACCTCCATCTTTTCCTTACTCTAACCCGTATCCTTCTACTTCTGGGTCCCACTGAGGAACATTGAGCTGATTTGTGGAACTTGGTGATGGCAATGTGGGACCTTGTGTGGAAGAGGTCACAGTTAACCATAACAATCTCATTGACTTGGATGGTTGGGTGGGAAGCTAAACTGAATCAGGGAATGCGGAGAGAGGAAAGGATGAGGAAAGGAATGATAATCCCTCAAGAAAAAAAACAATAATAAATTGGTCACTTTAATCCACGTCTATTTGTGGGACACTGCTGTGCACAATTGGCTGCCACATTTCACCCACACGTATATAGTCAATTCACTTTACAGTATATTCTGTGAAGCGCTTTGAGACATCTAGCAGACGTGAAAAGCGCTATATCAAATGCAAAGATTATTATTATTATTATTATGTTCCTGGGCGGCAACAACACATTCAAGGATCTTGACAAAGGGAGGGTTAGAGATAAGCCATTAGATTAATAGAGGAAGTCTTAAGGATTGCTCACAATGAAAGCTACAATACTGCATCTTTGCCTTATATCATTAATCTGAACAACATAGTCCCTTTTGTGTACAGGAAACAACTATTTAAGACTGCGTCTGTAGCAGATTCCAGAACGGAAAATGATTGGAGCCGCAACATTTCTGCCAGTATAACTTAATTATCTTGGG